TCACACAATATTTTTTTCCAGTAGTGGGGATCGAACCCGCACCCACTGGCGCAGGAGGCAGTTACACTGGCCATTTGGGTCGTCAACGTGTCGTTTAACGTACACGGCACCACCGTATTTGCACAATACATATTACACTAACTGTCGATTGGTAATTACCACATTTAACGCAGTATAAAAAGAAGTACCTACTTTGTTATGATATGTCATATTCGAATCAGTTCTCCTTGAAAGTTTATATTTCGCCATGTCGGCTGTTTCTATTCTGCTGCTCTGCATACATGCGCTCTTAATTCAGGTACAGAAATCTTGTCTCGTATCCATGTAAAAAACATAAATAATTTGAAACAAATTTTGCCACCGTTAAAAAAATTATTCTTCTAAATAACATGCAGGTAACACATACGAAATTAGGATCTATTTTCCACTTTAGTTACATTGCACAAATCTGATTACAGAATTATTTTCGTTGGAATGGTCTATATCATTATTTTTATATTTTTCAGAACATTTCTGCAGCTTGTTGGGGTAACGCGGTAAACCCTGCTTGGTCTGGCTGGGGTGAAGGTTTAGGATGGAGGGGTCCTGGTCTGCCTGCTGATGTACCGCTCATTGAAACCGGTGCTGCTCCATGTGCCGCCAGAGCTCCGTTTCTTGGCGCTGGTTGGGCTACCTACGGACCCGGCGCTGTTGCTGCTTCTAATGGTGGAGGCTTTGCAGTCTCTAGCGCCTCTCCTATCGCCCCCGTAGGAGTCTCAGTAACCTCTGATAATGCAATTGAAGGAATTCTTGGTGTCGGAGGAGAAATTCCCTTCATAGGCACTGTGGGATTGGAAAGTGCCCTGCCCACCGCCGGTGCAGGCACAGTGACTTACGGCTGCGGCAATGGTGCTGTCGGCATGGTGACCGAAGATATTGCCCCCGTGGCAATGGGTTTACCATTTTCAGCACCTGGACTGGGATACGGACCCGGTTGGAATGGTGGATATGGTTGGGCCGGTACCGGTTCTAGACCCTTTGGATGCGGGTGCGGACAAACAACTGAAATTTCCATTTAAACACTTATTGTAAAACTACATATTATAAATTATTAAATCTTTTTAAACCCGTCAACTAGCTATGTAATTTAAAAAACAACCTTTAAACACCGTTGACCCCGGTAACCTCGCCCCCAAGAGGGCATGCAAAGTTATAATACTTCGACTTTCTGAGAATATGGCACTCCCTCGCACGAGCCTGCCAATTCATTATGAAGATGTTCCGCGGCGCTATCACAGTGCGTAAACTACGAACAAGAATTAAATATGTATTCCCAAATTCCCGTTTTTATTCCAATGTTCCGTTTTGTTTTACGCAAATATTTTCTAATAGTATTGATACTAATAATTTTTATACAACTGGAAAAGTTTGGCTAGTTACAGGAGCTGAAAGGATCGCATAGACTAAAACCTTATTCATCTTGAAGGCGTAAAATTTCGATCGTCGTTTAAAAATGTAAAGTAAACCATAAAATAGTAAAAAATCATAAGGGTATTATTTTAATATTTGCACATACTTTAATCTAGCACTAACCATGTATGTACGTGGTTCACTTTACGTATAGTGGTGAAAATCACAGACTATGAATAAAATTAAATCCAGACCCAAACTTAGTAGCAAAGCAATAAAGTGTGCTGGTACAATAATGTAATAATATTGAGGTCGTAACGCAAAGTGCAAGCAAAAAGATAAGCCAACAAAAATTGTTTGTTCGCACAAAACGATTTTTTCGCAATGTCTTTGTTCTTTCTTTTGTAAGGGTTTCTTTCTGAATCTTCTAATGATTCGTTAGAGTTCATTCAACCATAAATTATTCTTATCTTTTGCCTACGCCTTTTTTAAAATCAATAGAATCTCAAATATTCCAATTTCTCGTGTCATCTGCTTATCTGAAAATCCTGGGGTATTTGGCTCAGTCGGAGCATCAGGTATACCTGTACCTGATGTAATGGGTGGATTAGGCATGAACAAATTCTCATATGAGTCCGATGGTTTTGCTCTTTCAAGGCAATCAGATGGCACATTGTGCCAAGAAGAATCAGGGTCAGAAGTTATTATGTTTCAAGAACTGCTAGGCATTGTTGAATCCTTTATTTGCATTATCTGGACTTAGAAGCAGATATTGTGAGGAGCATACAGCAATCAACATAGTCTTCTCGCGTAGATTACTTCAGGCTCTTCGGCACTCCACAATAACTGGTTAATTGCTAAGGCATCTATGGTCAAATATGGTCAAAGGCCGAGTAGTGACTCATTTATCCTGTAGATCTCAATTCCTTTACAATAGTTACCCAAACATGTCAATAAGTCATGCAAACTGGTCACAAATCTACAGAAAAGACGTCTACAGGAGTGACATAGCATTAATAAATCAGAGATAGCCGCCTACATACTGAGGTGACAGTTTGAGCATTACAATATTTGTTTAACACTCCCTTAGGCATATAGTATCATGTTAGCTGTACTTTGTTTTATCGAGCTAAGAAGGTAGAAATATAAATACTTTTACCAAATCACCGTAGTTTTACTTGCACAATAATAATACTGGTATAATTACTTATTATATCACTTTAATATCACTAATGAAACACCACTCTAGATACCGATTGGGCAGCACTATCACGTATACTTCTTGGTGATAGCCAGAGAAAGACGAAGAAGACGACAAAGAACCCTGAAATGCATCTTGCAGCTTCATTTATATCTCACAGAATGACACTTCTTTTCGTGTTGCCAACAACCTCAAGGAATGACTTCCTTTAGTGTTGCCAACAATCATAATACTTTTAAATTTTTTTATAAAGTACATACTCAGTTATAGTTAGTACAGAAAAGAAACACTGATGTCGAACAAAAACTTATGTAATTGTTTAAAATAATGTATTTCGCCGTTACCCGCACTTTATGTCACATTCAGAACCGAGCAAATAACAGAGAATACAATGCTGCCAACTGAATAAACAAAATGGTTACCCATGCATTGATTTTTAACAGATTTCTGCTAGTTTTATGTGACCACAGAAGTAGACTTAAAATCTGAGAACAACATGTTTATGTCTCGCGTAGTTTAGAAATTACAGTAGACTTTTTTAATACATTAGTTAATGCATATTTAGTTATGTAACTGATGTAATGAAACAAAATAAAAGTAAAAAACTATGTGCTTATATTTTTAAATTTTACTTAAACTCAGCTATTTGACATCCGAACAGTCCACAGGAGGAGATTTTTGGATGGTCAAAACGATGAAAAACAAAAGAAATTTGAAAAATAAAGCGTGAAATTTTTACAAAATTCAAAAAGTTTTCTATAAGAAGTTACCAAAAAATTCATTAAATTCTCATATAATTTGGAAATGAAAAAAAATCTTCCATGAACATATTTTATCCCGTTTTTGTGTATGTTTATTATGCGTTTTTTGTGACCCTTACATGTTTGTAAGTTTTCAACACTGTACCATGAGGCTTTACCAACAATGAATTCGCTACATACGTAATTTCCGGAAAAATGCTTACCTTGACCATCTTTCTTGAGTTTAGAGAATAGAAAGTAATTAATTAAATCCGATAGCCCGCATATAAGCCCTAGGCTTATATGCGGGCTATCGGATGGGTGCTTTCTTTAAATCCACAATCCCACGCAGCAGTCTTGGCTAAGTGCCCTTTGTGAACCGGTGAGTTGTCGTGAAGAAGCAAGACACCTGCGGTCAATTCTTCCTTGCAACACTCAACTCGCACTTGTTTCTGAAGCGCCCTGAGCATTCATGGCACCCATCTTGCACGACCTTCGATAGATTCAGATGTCCTTCCTTCGTGAAGGAAGTGTTAATGCTACCCACGGAAAGCTTAGTCCTTTCTGCTCATGTTTTCACTCTTACACGGCCCATCTTTGAGTTTACAAGTTTCTCCGCGATTCTGACGTTTTCTTGAGATAATGAAGGAGCAGAATCTTGGTAAACGATCACCATTTCTTCTTTAAAATCTTTTATTCTTTCCTTGTTTTGTTATGTATTTGGTATCACAGCAGGGTGCTCGGTTTTTTAGTGTCTATGAGAGTAGCACAAATTTGGTTTAAGCGTTTTCAATCCGGAAATTTTGATGTCAAAGATGCAACTCGCTCTTTGCGCCTTGTTACGGATTAAATGGATGCCATTTTTGAAAAAGAGCAAGATCGGCATATCAATAATAATAATAATAATTTATTCGCATAAAACATGGTACATAATATAATGGTATCTAATTTGTTACAAAAGCTCACATGTTTGCCAGATGCGGCATGCGAAAACTAATGTTTGAATAAACTACATGCATAGAATTTAAAATGATAAAACTTGTTGCATAAATTATAATGTTATTAAGCTATTAAATTAAATAAGTATTTTGAAAATTATTATTTAAGAATTAAATAAGTCAAAAAGAACACAAGTAAAATAATTATAGTAAATAAAATGTCAACATTATATAAAGAAAAAAATATAAAGAAGAATAATACAATAATAATAAAATGATTTTTGCCGTCACGCCAAGCCAAAAAAAACTGAATTTTATTAACTAATGGTGCCCATATTCATTAATGCCATAAAAACAACGCGTGAGCAGCCAAGTTTTGAGTTTGGATTTAAATTTATTTCGGTATAGCTGATGAACTGGGAATAGTTTGTTACTAGCGGAGTAACAATATGAGAACTAAAAATCAGATAATCAGGAGTTGATGAGCTTTGCATAGTAATTAACAGTAAGTATAGCAGCCATATATATTATTAAGGTCTAATCGCGTTATATGTTTTCAATTCTCTAGATTTACGAAACTGCTGTAAGATGGGGGATAACACAGCTTTCGTGATATTTAGAACTTGTTTTTTTATAAATGTAATGTTTCATACGACAGCCATCCTCGACCGCAGGATAAAACACATGTTAACATTTATTCACTTCATTTATTATTTACTAAGATTCTAATTAATATACCGCTCCACAACCATATCCATATTCTGTGGCAGGATTAGCCCACGCCCCGCTGTACCCGTACCCATTTGTCGTCGGGGCATAGTTTAGGCCTGTCCCGGGCCACCCGAATCCATTAGCGGCCGCCATTGACAAGGCACTCTCACTTATCATTCCCACATTCCCGTTACCACAGCCGTATGAGATGGTGCCCGCACCAGCTGTTGGCAGAGCACCCTCTAACGCTACGGTGCCAAGGAATGGCAATTCACCACCGACCGCCAGGATTCCTTCGATCGCATTCTCTGATACCACAGAGACCCCGTAAGGCGAGATAGGGGACGCGCTTGAAATAGCAAATCCGCCCCCATACGTGGAGGGGAATGCGGTGAGGTCGTAAGCTCCTAGGAATGGAGCTGCACTAGTATACTGCGCACCTACCATCAGTGGCGCTTCGCATGCGTATCCTTGAGCAGCCCAGCCCATGCCTTCCATAGCAGACAAGCTAGTTGGCCAGGCAGCATCAATGCAATACGCGGTGATTGTCTGTAAAAAGATGATAACCATTGGTTATTTTGTTACACTTATTATTTATTATTACAACCTGACTTCATTGTCAGAATAAATTCATCATATTTTTTTGCAAGTAACGGTTAGTGCTTAAATACAATCCTATCTGGTAGTAGTAAGTGACTCTGCAGCCCTAGATGGTAAACTCTTAGCATAAGTCGATTCGATTCTTTCTTCTCTTAGCATAAGACGTTTACTTTATTTTCAGACAATTTTCTAAAGATATTGTGCCTATTATGGTCTTCCCTGTTCAATTACTTGAACATTTTATGTATTAACAATCTTTAATTTTACAAAGGCCAGAAATGCTTACCTTTAATAGAAAGACTTGTGCGCAAAACAGAAGTACAGTTTTGGTTGCCATTATGCTAAAGCAAAGGAGTAATTGGATTTTAAAAATATAATGGCTGTCGGAAGAATGATCAAATAAATGAAAATTTTCGTATTTATACTGATTTCCTATGAAATCAATATTTCACACCGCAAGAAAATGTAATAGAAACCTTGTTACAAGGTATTGCGCTGACTTACATCAAAGTTCGTGTGTATACGTACGATTACAAAAATATTGCCTTAACTTCTGTTGATACCATAACGAGTTCTTCTTAGAGACAGTAATCTCCCAGTGATGTCAACAGACATAAGAAATTTAAAAAAGGTAATTTTGTCCTGTATAATATGAATATACAATAGTAAAATATCTCTTTAGTTAAGATTTGAGTTACTATGTTCAAGTACTATTGCAAACAACACAGCAAGACAAATATAAAGATATATTGATATTATGGTATAAATATTAAAACCTCTTAACTATACTCGCAACTCTAAATATAATTTTCATTTTCATGTACTGTCGTATTGTTGACGAACCGATTGGCCTAGTGGGTAGTGATGTTTCACTACCCACTAGGCCAATCGGCCAGAGGCTGTTGCCTCTCGCGCCATCGGGTGTGGGTTGGATTTCCAGTGTTGGAAAAATATCATGTGATGTTTATAGTCTTTTCCCAATGTATACACCCATACATATTTATAATACGTATTTATATACAAAAGAAAAGTATATTTAAGTATGTTTTTCAGTTATTTATTTCCCTTATTACAAGCGTTACTTAATTTTGGACTGGAGAAAGTTATGTAAAAGTGTATTCTGAAATATTTATTTATTATAATGTACTAAAATATATTTATGTTGCAAATATGTAATATTGTCAATACATTCAAAAATAATAGCTGGTTATTTCGAGGTGAAACCATTGTTTTTAAGAAGTAAGTAGGTACTATGAATAATTTATTTTAACTAATGTACATTTGTCTACCCATACCAAATAGTGAAAGACCAGCTAGTATTTCATAAAATGCTTACTTTTATCGACAATACTTATTATATAAAATGACAAAAAAAAGTTTATGAAAAATTCATTTATGAAAATTGATATACAATAGATAGAAATTTTTAGACTATAGAATCTTCGGTATAAGGTATTGAATTCACTAGTATCGATTTTAATACAAAGTAAAAAAAATAATCCCCAGGCTTTCTTTTCTTTTACGTTAGAAGATGACAAGCGAGCAGACGGTTCATCTTATGTTAAGTGATAACCGCTAGGTGGTAAGCGCAGATCCCAACCCTCTAATGGAAGCGCAGTAAATTACCAACCCAACACAAACGCGAACGTCAACAAGCGTCGCATGCGAAACGTTCTCATCGAGCCGGTTGATGAAGGGGACGTAGGTACGTTGGACGCACCGTCGAGGGTGCCGCCGTGTAACACTACACACAGTTAAGGCCCATTTACATGGTGCCAGTTTCTTGCCTGTTGTATACAATTAAATTGAAGCAATAAATGAGTTGCATGGTCTAAACAACAAATGGTCTAAACAATTATTGCGCGCAATTTATTGCATTCAATTATTGCTCTTGTATGTACAAGAAAATGGCATCGTGTAAATGGGCCTTTAGTGTAGCAACAAACACATTAGTTCGCCCTCGCCTCCGAACACGGCGAGACGAACACAATGCGTACACAAGGTACCCCCGCGTTCGAGGTACACACCTGAGCACAATTGGGCCAATAAGTTTAAAAATGTTATTGAAAATATTCAAAAAAAGAATATTTATTAAAAATATAAAGAGATCACTAGTATGTAAATACAAAAACAATTTCTTTATGCTGGTACACCAGTTTTGCAATGCTCCCCAACTGCAAGTCCCTCTTCGGCAGAGCGTACACGGCGCAGGCGATTTATTTTTTACTTTAGTGTGCCTTCTCCTGGTTTGAAAAAGCGTAGGATGGAGCGAATACCTTGTATCGGGTATGTAAATACGTTGTGAGGCCTTTTCAAGCAAGAAGGGGTATTTTATAAATAACTGGCTGCTGCCCACAACTACGTCTGCATAGAATAGGCTGAAGGCGTAACATTCAGACAGAAAGACAGATATACATAAAATAAGTATATAAATTATAACCTATATGTTATTCTAATGTATAAGCTATATTATTGTGAAGTTTCCTTAAAATCCATTCAATAGTATTTCCGTGAAAGAGTAACAAACATTCATCCATACATACAAACTTTCGCCTTTATAATATTAGTAAGGATGTTAGTAAGGATGTTGTGAGCCCCTTACAAGAGAATAACGGATTAGTACATCACATACTGATCACGTCATAATTCGGCACTTAAAATTAACAATTTCATTCAAATTCAAATTCAAATAATTTATTCATCGTAATAAGAAATATACATTTCATTTATCGATAGTCATTTTTTAAATCTACCATCGTTTCGTAATGAGGTTCCTCTAACGGAGAAGAAACAGGCGAAAGAAACTCCGTAGGTATCCGCTTTTTTGTCATATACAGTACATATTTTTTTAGAAACAGTTTTAGTGCGATCTTCTCATTCCCAGGGGATATTATCATGAATACTAATGTGATATGTTGAATTCATTCGTCCTTTGTTTTTGTGAATTGTCGGCAATCCCAAAAGTCTTTTTATACCCCCACATGAATTTAACGCGAGAACAATTTCTGTCCATGATTTATTACAGCTTTCATTGGGGTCTTCATTCATTGACATGTAATAACAAGATTGTTGTGCGACGCATGATTTTTTTTGAAATTTGAAACGCGAAAGTATTATACTTCCACTTTACGTCGGTCTTCTGTGAGATCGTGGTACTTACCAGGACGAGCCTATGTCTTATTCTAATGAATAAGCTACATTATTGTAAAGTTTCATTCAAAGTCAAAGTCAAAGTCAAAATTTCTTTATTCAACATAGGCTTATTTTAAGCTCTTATTGAACGTCAAAAACTACCACCGGTTCACTACACTAGACCTGCAAGAGACGAACCGGCAAGAAACTCTGCGGTCATATATGTATATTTTATTTTTATTTTATTTTCTTAAGTATTTAAGTATACACACAAAATTATTTTAGTATAATTTAGCAGGAGCCAGGGGACTTGCAAGTGCAGAGCAAGAGTCTTTCCACACATCATTGTCCTCAATGTATTCCTCGACATTATAATAAGCCCTTTCCATTAAGGTGGCTTTTACAAAATGTTTGAAATTATTTACACTTTAACGGTGGTAGAGCCACGCAGCAGCCTCGGCTGTTGCACGAATGGGCAGGCTCGTCCGAGTAAGTACCACGACATCACAGAAGATCGGCGTAAAGTGGAAGTATGACAAATACTTTCGCGTTTCGTCTGGTGAGTGAGGTAGCCGGAGCCCAATTTCCAAAAAGGTTGTCAACGCATCTGCAAACCCTCGGGTGTAGCAGATGTCTATGGGCGGCGGTATTCACTTAACATCAGGTGAACCGTCTGCTCGTTTGGCAACTTTTCACATTAAAAAAAAAAAACTTAATTGTTTGTGGATGTCACCTATTCTATTATATCAGTTAATACATCTACCAAGGAACGATTTCCTGGTTTTAGCTAGTCTAAACGTCGGTATTTCCAACGTGTCACCACGGCCCCGACGCGATGTGGTATGTTTTTTTGTAAAATGGTGTATGTTATTTCGTACATACATGATGTTCTCAAGCATGTATAGCGACGGGAGCGTTAAGATGTTTATTTGTTTAAAAATATGCCGAAGGAACTCACGTGGACCCAAGCCATAGACAGCCCGTATCGCTTGCTTTTGCAATACAAATGTCGTGTCTAAACCGGATGCGGAACCCCAAAGTAAGACACCATAAGACATAATACTGTGAAAGTAAGCATAATAAACTAATTTAGCTGTTGCCTCGTTTTTTAGTTGCCTGATCTTGCGTATGGCAAAGACGGCAGCGCTGAGCTTTTTAGCTAATTTATCTATATGCGCTCCCCGTTGCAACTTTCAGCATATTCCAAGGAATGCCGTTGAATCCTCTGAGGTAAGATGTTGTCATCAATAAAGATTCCTGGTTTGTGAGACAGCTTTGATAATGAAAATCTGATACATTTAGTCTTAGTGGCTCAAAAGTAAATTATTGGTCGCAAACCAGCCCGACACGACACTTAGTATTTCATTTGATTGCTCTAATGTAACATCTTTCCTATTAACCTTAAATAACAGTGAGGTGTCATGCGCAAACAAAACGATTTGAGACCTTTTTTCTACCACATATGGCAATTCATTTATGTAGACTAAAAAAACAGAAATGGGCCCAGGATCGATCCCTGAGGAACACCCATTTGTACTATTGATCCCGATGACAGTATACCATTAATAGTTACTTTTTGTTCCCAAAGTTAATAATTATAATTTAATTTAATTATTTAATTTAAGATCGATAGGTTATTAAAATCCATTCAGTAGTATTTGCGTGAAAGAGTAGCAAACATCCACCCATACATACAAACTTTCGTCGTATTATATTAGTAAGGATAAAAGTATCTTTTTGATAAATAAACTTGTGCATTACGGCGGAAGAAGATAGCTCAGTGTGCTCAGGCGCTCGCTTTTTGTTTAATATACTCAACCGGAGTTCCATTCCCGGTTCCGGCCCCAATGAAATTATTTACTATAGTTTTGGGGTGAAGAAAAACATCGTAAGGAAACCTGTAAAAAAAAGTAAAGTAACAGCCTATACATGTCCCACTGCTGGGCAAAGGCCTCCTCTATACAGAGGGTATCAGGGCATAGTCCACCACGCGGCCCCACTGCGGATTGGCGGACTTCACATATCTTCGAAAAATATTTTTTTTTGTTATTATTTCGAAAATATGCAGGTTTTCTCACGATGTTTTCCTTCACCGCGGATCACGTGATAGTTCAGCAATTTAAGTTAAAAACTTCATTCGTGCCGGCACCGGGGATCGAACTCAGGTTGCTAGAGTATATTGAAATAAAGGCGAGCGCCCGGACACTGAGCTATCACGGCTCCGAAACCTGTATGTTTTCGAATTAATAACAAAAAAATCGAAGATTTGTAAAATCGGCCTATCCGCATGGGGTGGCGTGGTGGACCCTAACAGCCTCTGTACGAGTAGGCCTTTGACTAGTGCTATGCATGGGAGACGGAGCGGAATGTCCTGGTAACCCATATTGGATGAAACCTCTCTTTGTCAGCAGTCATGTCGACGATGTTGGAGATGCAGCGTGGAGGGCTGTAACCTCTTTCTGCGAGACCGTGATAGTATACCGGGCCGCAGTAGTGTTCCAAATGAAGATCCTGTGAACCCACATGACAGCTGATGGCGACCATCGTGGGGTTTTAGTCGGTGCGAATCCGACATCACCTTGCTTCCCCGGATGTGGGAGACCAGGTAGCCATAACGGATTTCCCCAAGAAAAAAAAGCCTTTGACTAATCTGACTCGCAATAGGACATATTACTGTTAATTTACTTAACGCCATTTGCATTTTTCTAACCGTATGTAGCCGGGACGAAAAAAATAGCTTGAAATATTTTATATAATTTTGTAAAACTTAATTAAAAAATGGAACATCAAAATTAATTTGGCCTATATCGTATTCTACTGTAAACGTTGTTTATGTATTCATCTTTTTGTGGGAACGTTTAGGCCATGAAGGGGTTAACCGAGTAACAAATGAATAAAGAAAAGTATATCATAATTTACATAGTTTATTTGGCAATGTCCTTATACAATTTACTAATGACAGTAATTGTTTGTGATTCCCGAGTTTGTATAATTTTATTCATTCTTATTAATACACATAGGGTCCATTGCAAGCGCAACCACACCGTCCAGCTATTGATACTATTCCACCTGCTGGAACCTCACCACCGAATTGCACGGCTCCAAGTATCGGCACTTGGCCAGCCAGAAGAGTTGTGCCAGTGACTGGCATCTCACCACCCACCGCTACGTCCCCAATGCCAGCACCTCCATACGCCGGTCCAGCAGCATAGGCAGTAGGAGCAGTAAATACCCCTGGGCCTGCAAGACCGTATCCGTATCCAAGACCTGGGGCTAAGCCGGGACCGTAAGGGACATCAGCAGCTATTGCGGGTCCACAGCCGAGCTCATATTCAGTGGCAATCGTTGGGCCGTAACCTAAACCAATGCCATTGCCAATATATTGCCAAAGTGCAATCTGAAAATAAAAAATCCTTGGTTAAATATTTAAAGATATAATCTTTATCCAACAATATCCTTTATGTAGAATAAACTAGCCAAGTCGCTCTTAATACACAATTTAACAATACATAATTACCTGCATGAAACAAACTTGCACAATGACAAATAAAAACGAAAACTTGTTCATGATTGTAAAGTTATGTTTCACAGAAATGAATATGCTGCTTTCATTTTAGTGTTGCTTTTTATACTCATTGTTTTGAAAAAACGTTACATAAACTATAGATAATGTTTTCCGTTACGTACATAGCAATACTATTGGAATAGTAATTCGAAATATAAATAATTTTTGTTGTTCATGCTAAGTATTTAATTTATATTAAAATATATCTTTACATATAACCGATTTCTTTTATACTATGTTTTATTTCTTAAAGCTTAAAGCCGTCAACAAGCGAAGAAGAAAAAAAACATTATCTGTCAGAAATATATAATATACAGCGTGTCGTTACCATCGCGACAATAAATGAACACACGTCTAACGCTACTTGCCAATAATCATAAAAAAATATTAACGTTAAACAAAATCCATAATTAAAAAAATATTTTTTTCAAACAAACTAATTAAGTAAAAAAGAAACAAAATTTGTAACATCCTATACAACTCGCGCCACAGCGTCGCATTACAAGCCTCTCCTTCTAACAGTATGTTTTGTCTCTTTTAAATTCATTGTGACCTTTACAAATGAACTTTACGTTACGCTTTTATAGGTAAGGATGTTCTAAAATTCTTTGTTTTGGAAAATTTAATAATTCTGTAAATATTGATGTTTAAAGAATTTAAATGTTTAATACAACTTTAAAAAGTTATCCCCTATATGTGTGTTCATTTATTGTCGCGATGGTAACGACACGCTGTATAACATATCATAAATCTCGACTCGGCTCCATATAATCGTTAGTCCGTTAAAAGAATTATTTTCTTTTGCATGATCTATATCATTATTTTTATATTTTTCAGAACATTTCCGAAGCTTGTTATGATAACGCGACCAACACTGCTTGATCTGGCTAGGCAAGTGAAGGAAATAGACGAATAAGGTAAGGGATGGGCGGGTACTGGTCAGCCTCTTGAAATACCACTCATTGAAACTGGTGCTCCGTGTGCCGCCAGTGATCTGTTTCTTGGCGCTGGTTTGTAGCTACGGACCGGGCGCTGTTGCTGCTTGCTAATGATGGAGGCTTTGCAGTCTCTAGTGCCTCTCCTATCGCCGCCATAGGAGTCTCAGTTGCATCTAATAATGTAATTAAAGGAATTCTTGGTGTCGGAGGAGAAATTCCCTTTCTAGGCGCTGTGGAATTGGAAAGTTCCCTGCCCACCGCCGGTGCAGGCACAGTGACTTACGGTTGCGGCAATAGTGCTGTCAGCATAGTGACCGAGATGCCCCAATACAAACAGGTTTACAATTCACAACACCTGGATTGGGCTATGGAACCTGTTGGAATGGTGATTACGGTTCAGTTGATACCGAACTTAACTCTTTGGTTGCGGGTGCAGACAAACAACTGAAATTTACATTTAAACTGTTATTGTAAGACTAAATGTTAAGAGTTATTAATTATTTTTAATACCGTCAATTTCAATGTTATTTTAAGCTATAAACAGTCATATTTAAATATTTAATGTTGTGATATTGCTTATTATGATTTCTTATTAGATGTTCAAAGTGACGGGAGTTGAAACTCATTGATTGTATTTTGTTAGTTTTCTTATGTGAATATTTACAAGAAAGCAGTTGGTTCCCCTAATTACCGCCATCTACAACATCAAACAGGCTGTTGGCAACCCGAAAATACACTTGGCTTCGGCAACCCCTTCTGTGCTACGGTACTTCTTCGCACGAGTGTGCCCATTCATTCAATAGCAGCCATTCCGTAGCTCTACCACAGTAGTCAGTAAACTAAATATAAAAATAAAATATATTTTCCCATATTCTCCAGTTTACGTTTAATTAAACACAAAAATAGTATCAGAAACGAGTTATAGTATCGAAAGTATCATTTTTATATGAATGGAAAAGTGTATTCAGTAACAGGATTTGAAAGAAGAGTGTGAATTTTAGATCGTTAATTAAAAATTTAAAGCAAAAAAGCTTGTAGAATATAAAATAGTGATGAAATTATGTTAATATAAGCACGTACATACAAAACATGATGTCCACAATGCCTTTATTCTTTTTTTTTTTTCTTTTTTTTAAGAGTTTATTCGCACATGCGAATATGCCACTCTGTAAGATAAAATCAACAATATAGCCAAAAGTAACAATAATATAATATGGTTGGTAACATATTAATTAAACTCTCGTGTTGAGAGCAAATTTAACCATATTTATAACATTCAACATTTCGTCGCTCAGGGGGATCGATAAATTAATATTATGTGGACCATTTTGCTTTCGCAGTGGCTCATTACGTTTACATCTCATCAATATATGATATACGTCTTCAATTTCATTACACACAGAGCAAGGCGGTGAGGTAGTTTTTTTCATGAGAAAAGCGAAATTATTAAGGGGCATATGTCCGGAGCGTAGTCGCATTAATATGGTCAAATTTGTTCTGCTAAGAGTGCATTTATCAATCCAGGATACATAAGCGGGCTGTGGCTGGATTGTTCTATTCCAAATACCTTTTTCTCTGGATCTTTGATCAAAATACTCCTTCCATTCCTGTAAACTGTTATTTTTAACTGTAGGAATATAATCCATGTATTCGGGGACTATACCTAAATCTATACCATCAGTGGCAGCCTGCTTTGCTAACGAATCTACTTTGTCATTTCCTACTATACCAACATGAGATGGAATCCATTGAATGATAACTGTTTTTTGTTGAGACTTTAGTTTTATTATAGAGTTAATTATAGTATAGGCTATCGATCTGCCTCGAAAAGTCGAGGTGCATCGAGCCAGATGTTGGATTGAGCTCTTTGAATCTGTGAAGATTACATATTTGTCAAATTTAAGGGATTCTATATACGACAAAGCCTCGACAATAGCAGTCAATTCTACGTGCATAATTGAGGTGTTAGAAGTAATGCGAAATTTGGAGAAGGAGTTCATTTATTCGTCATAGAAAGCACTTCCCGTATAGTCACCGTCTTTGGACCCATCCGTATAGATTTTATAAAATCCTGAATAAGAATTGGATAATGACTTTAAGGTAACTTCTTTCAGGTGAAACGTAGAATAAGATCGTTTCGATTTTTTAATGCAATCAATGTTAAATTTTAAACTAGATGAGAGATCAATATCTGCCATCCAAGTGTCAAGAGAAAACATAATAAATTATAAGAACGAAAAGAATGTATTTTAAGCTTTTCATGAACTTTTACTAGTAAAGGAACAGTACGATACCTTCTGTTATTGTTATTATAAGCATGATTGAATTGTTCTAAAGTTAATATTAGGTTACTGCACTCGAAAGATTTTATTTTTAGCCAAAACTTTCCGGCCAGGAACCATCTCCTGAACTTTAAAGGTGGTAAGCTGAGTTCGCATTCCATGACGTGGACAGGAGTGGTTTTAATGAAGCCTCCGATAACCCGTAAACACTGGTTTTGCAATACGTCTAGTTTGCTTAGATTTTTCTTCGCACTATTATTATATAAAAAACTGGCATAATGCACACGACTTCGAACAGCAGTAATGTATAGACGACGAAGGTGTTTTTGATGGACTACCCAACCCGTGCCAGAGAGAACTTTAAATATGTTAATAAAATTAAGTGTTTTCTCAATAGTTTCATTTATATGTCTACCCCATCCTAAAGAACTATCCAACCACAATCCCAAATACTTAACGCTATGTACCATAGGTATGTTAGTATTACAAATTTTAATATCTATGTGTTGATTCTGATGTTTACGTTTTTTAGAAAACAAACATATTTTACTCTTAACAGGAGATATTTCTAGACCCGCTTCTGCCAAAAGAGTAACAATTTTATTTAGTGCTTGTTGGATATCAAATTTTGCATTAGAAATGCTCTTAATAGTTGTGTAAATAACAATATCATCCGCATATTGTGACACTATAATATTATCACGGGTCTCTTTGCAGATTTGAAAAGTTGCAACGTTAAACAATAGTGGTGATAATGGGTCACCCTGAGCTAATCCGATTCCCGTAGTTCTGGTCATACACACGGTGTCATCTTTTATTTGTAACGACCTTTCTTTCAAGAAGTTATATTTATTTATTATTTATTTATTTACACACTTTTTTGTACTAACTGGTACAAACGGCGGGCTTAATGCCATAAGGCATTTTCTACCAGCCAACCGGAAAGTTAGTGAAAGAGAAGTGTAGGTGCTAGCTATATAAGGATTATATAATATGTATACATACATTATGATAACAATTATTAACTTACAACAATAAATATTATAATAGGTAAATATATATATATATATATATATATATATATATATATACGTACATAAAACGGAAATATCTATCAAACGTTATCCATACTACTGATCATAAGACGACGAATTAAAATATTCCTTAACTTTAGCTTTAAAAATAAATTTATTCGGTGATTTTCGAATTTCACGAGGAAGGGCGTTCCAGAGTCGAGCAGCTGTAACAGCGAAGGATTTAGAGAGAAAAACCGGTACTGTGAGAAGGAATAAGCAACGTAAGATTACCAGCAGATCGAAGATTGCAGCAATGAGAGGTACCCAGGTACTGAAATTTAGATTTCAGATACGCTGGGGCAAAAGGATCGTTAATGATACTATAAAGCGTACAGAGGATCCGAAGATTCCTCCGTTGGGAAATATTCAACCAGTTTAGTTGAGAGCGATATGATGAAATATGGTCAAACTTTCGAACACCATAAATGAAGCGAATACATTGATTAAGGAGGCGATCCAATTTGCTAAGAACCTCCATGTTTGCATCTGAGTAACACACATCAGCGTAATCGAGATGTGGAAGTATAAGTGATTGAACTAAAAGTTTTTTAGTATAAGGTGGTAAGAAATTTTTAAATCTATATAATTGTCTCAAGTTGGAATAAACTTTACTGCTGACTTCATTAACTTGCGCTCGCCAGCTGAGCGAGGAATCAATAGTTAACCCAAGATTCTTGACTTTTGGTGAAAAGGGAATGACTTGATCATTGTACATCACGGGCATCACGCAATTATAATCTATTTTGCATAACTGGCGTTCGCTCCCTAGAATTATGGCTTGGCATTTGGTGGGATTTACAGTAACACCGTACTTTTTCGACCAGTTGAAAATATGCTCGAGATCAGAGTTAATCTGGGTAACAGCATCATGTAAATGCGCTGCTTCAGCCTGGGCATACAGCTGCAGGTCGTCGGCATACAGATGGTAAGAGGAGCGAAGATTATATGTAACAGAATTTATGAAAAATGAAAAAAGTATTGGTGACAGTATTCCGCCTTGCGGAACACCGGTGGCCAGATCGCACCAATTGGAGAACTTTCCATCGACACGAACCGCCTGCCGGCGACCACGAAGATAAGAACAGAACCAATTCAGTGCTGAGGATGAAAATCCTAGGTGAGATAAGATGGCAAGAAGGATGTCATGGTCAACAGCATTAAAAGCGTTGGAGAAGTCGATCAGTACTAATACTGTCACCCTGCCATCCCCCATACCATGTCGCACATCCTCGGTAACCGCTAATAGAGCAGTAGTGGTACTATGACCCGGCCGAAACCCCGATTGGAACTTATTCAACAGGTTGTTCTTATGAGCGAAGGTGCAGACTTGTTTAAAAACAATAGTCTCTAAAGTTTTTGATAAAAACGGCAAGATAGAAATAGGCCGGAAATGATTCGGTGAACTGGGTTTACTAATTTTGGGAAGCGGGATAACAAAAGCATTACGCCAACAGATAGGAAATTCCCCAGATAGCATCGAATGATTAATAATAAATGTCAGAATGGGTACAATCTGGTCCAAAACATGAAATATCATGACACGGCCTATTTCATCACAACCTACTGCCTTAGATTTAATCTGATGTAAAACCTTACATACCTCATCCTCAGCGACCGAAGAAAAAGAGAATGTATCAGAGTGAGTTGAGGCCATGGAAGATATTTCAAGAAGAGTACTAGCTTTAATGTGAGATGGCAATACAGAAGATGAGGAAAAGTGAGCATTAAGTTCGCTTAATAAGGGCATATCAATACTAGGCTGTGTTTTGCAACTTGCAAACCCAAGAGAGTGAATAAACTTCCATGTCTCTGATTGAGAAGCAGTTAGTAAGAAGTTGTGAAAATGTCGGCGTTTAGCAGACCTCACCATCTGATTGCAACGATTCCTGGCTTTTTTGAATGCAGCCCAGTTTTGAGCACTACGACATGATTTATAAGAAACAAACGCTCTGTTACGTCTATTCATTGCCAACCGAACATCGTTATTCATCCAAGGCGCAGGGGGTCTCTTCATAACGACTTCGTGCAATGGTGCAAGTTTGTTAAAGATATCTATTATTTTTGAGCTGAAAACTGAAACCATGTCAGAAACTGTACTCAATGTGGTTACCGGTGACCAGTCGATCAAGGAAAACTCATTTATTAACCTGCTCCTATCCAAGTTTGCTAAACTGCGTACTGCTACCCTGCGGGCCACCCGTTTCGGAGGCCTGATTTTGTATGAGACGTAAAGCAGATCGTGATTGGAGAAACCCGGCGCCGGGAGTTGGCCGTGATTAATAATATTTTTAGGGCAAGATGTTATAATTAAGTCAATCCATGTCGGCTGTGGCAAAATTTGTATGCGTAGGCCCAAGAGGAAGAAGAGAACAATTAGTAGACTCCAGGATTGAATGTAATTTACGCGAGTGGTAAGTGTCTTTCATTAAGTTGGTGTTAAAGTCTCCCATAATTAGGAAATGTGTGTACTCGGAGCAAAGAGATTCGAGAATATTTTCCAAACTGAAGAAATAGTTAATAGTGGGGGGAGAGTAAGCAACTCCGAGTAACGCCTTAATTCCCCTTAAATTAACTTCGAGGAACAGTGACTCCATATCGTCACTTAGGGGGTTCGAGGCAAATATCATTTTATATGTAATGTCGCAACGAAGGTAAATACAAACACCCCCACCGCGTTTTTTACCCGATCGTTTCTAACAAGAACATACCCCGGCAAACTATACGATGTTGAATTTAGGTTAGGCTTAAGCCAAGTTTCTGACACTAACAAGGCATGAACATGATCTACGGAGAAGGTATCTAATAACTCGCTGTGATTGACGCGGAATGCTCTGGGCATTGATATGACAAACATTTAAACAATTATCTTTATCGCCAAGAAACGCACAGGCTAACTGGTCCTTGAGTAAATGCATCCCAGTATCTAAGGAACAAAAAGATAAGCTCGAATCACTAGCTGTCTCAAAAATATCAGTATCGGACATCGTAACGAATGACTATATGTAACTATATATAAACAAAAATAAAAATAATACAGCAAGACAATATGCTTAAAATATAATATAAAGAAGAACGTGAATATATGTATATAATAATAAAAAGGGGATTTAAAAATTAATGAAAAAACCGTCACATAAACATCATCCCTCGGGTTGACTGCCAGAAAATGTCATTTACATCATTATATGTGTTACATCTACATAAAAGTAAAAGCTTTTCATTTAGACCATCAGAAATATTTGTTAACTGATACAATATGAAATCGTATCGTATGGTAAATAATTATACAACAGGATCTATAACGAAAAACAATATCCAGAGAGAATCACATCTAAAACAATTACTATCTGGCTGAATCAACTGAACCCATGAGTATATTAAAATTAAAACTAAAACAAAAACATAAACAAGCTCAACTGTCATAACACTAAGTACAATAACTATTAACTAATACTAAACCTATTAACATAAACAAGATTTGTTATGCGAATATTATGTAAAATGTGTGCACGTAATTTGAAGCATAACCTTACATGTAATACAATATGATAAATTTAATGCACACTAAAGAATAAGACAATTCAAGTGTTAATGTGTATAAGAGTAATTGACTACAAGTTACCAATGTGTTATACACAGTAATCTGTGGAAGAGACATAGTGTAAATTAAATCATAGCAAACTTAAACATTGAACATACTCAGAAAAGAAAAAAAAGAAAATCAAGGCGTACATATAATATAATATGACTATCAGCGCTAACAATGTGTGACATTCCAATATGCAATGACTTAAAGTTGAAATAGCACAAAGTTTCCTATTAGTGAATAATTTAAAAGAAAATCAGTTCACAAAATATATATATTTCCACTATTTAATTAGTAAGATAAATATAATGCAAAGTTAGTGTCACAGCACTCACACATGCCTATTATGTTATTAGTCTAACAGCTTAACATATATTTAGTTTAATTTTTAGTGTAGAGAACAAAACAAAAAGATATTTTACTATCATATTTAAGTGTTTCAAGATAATGTGCTTTGCTTTGTTGATAAAATTATATGTAAGGTTAAATAAACTGCTGGATACACCTAAAGATATTAAATATGTATAAATTATGTAAAGTGTGTGTTTACTTTAGTTATGGATACTTTAACAGTAAATAAATAGGACAAATGAAATGTTTCTTGGTAATTCAAAGTGCAAAATTTAACTACTAAACCATTGTGATCCAGCACATGAAATTAGTGGAATATATTAATAAATTTTAGTCTAAAAATTAAACTGTACTATAAAATGCTATATAAATGAAATTCAGTAGTGCTTTTCTAGATTACTTTTTGGTTGCAAATCGTCTAGTCTTCATAGCATTTCCTGATGCCACCGAAGTTGGCTGTAGACGCTGCACTTTTTCCAACTGGACTGGGGGAGAAGCATTAGCCACTTGTTTAACCTGGGATGTACTTGGAGGTTCTGCAGCGACAGAAGATAAATTTATATCTGGAAATTTAGCTATTAAGTCATCCAACACTAACTGCGAGGTGATTTTGGCACGTCCCTCAGCTAGTTTAATATAAATTGCACCATCATAGGACCAGACATTCCTCATGCCGAAATGATTACGGGCATTCTTAAGTATAGATTGCCTGGTTTTAGTCAAAAACTCACTTACAGAAATAGCTGAACCTTTCAATTTCGACTTTGCATTCCAAACTTGATTTTTTATATGATGTTCACAAAAGTACACAATGACGGGCCTTGGTCGGTTTCCAAGTGGAGCATTAAGTCTGTAGCACTGTTTAATGGATGAGTTATCAATTAGTGAGGCCCATTTTCTCATGCAGCAAGGGCAGAACTTTTTGCATAATGTTTTCATTCGAGGACTCCACTATGCCGTTGAAAACCAGAGCTTTCCTTCGTTTATGCATATTGATGTAGTCCAAACTTTCAACACACTCCTGAATCTGTTGCTGCATAAGTTTCAACACAGACGAGACCAATTCCTTGAAGGTGTAGTATTCATTTTGTAGTTGCAGAAGTGTTAAGTTAGTAGGATTTGATGCAGCCTTTAGCCTGTCTTCAAATTCTGTCATCTTATGTGTCAGGCTCCCTACCAACTTCTTCTGCATGTTCTCAACTCCAGAGAGATTCGCCATCGGAAAACAACCACTTGTTTTGTGAAAGAGGTTTCGGAGGGATGGTGTAGTGACGGCGTATACAGATTTACATCAACTGAGTATAGAACACTTTTTCACTTTTTCAAAAATGCGTAAATTTATGCTAAAACTGTTTGTAGATATGAACAAATAATGTATGTATACTAATTTAACGATTAAAATAAAACCCAAAATCAAACTCAGCTGTTACTTTATTCGCACCTACCGTCCAATTCCCATATATAAATAAGTACAGATTTTTGAGCCCACTTCTAATTTATCTAACATTGTTAATAACTTTAAAATATCAACATTATTGTAAGCGTTATTTATGTCTATAAAACAAGATAGTGTAAATGAATTAATACTAAAACCATATTGTATATTAGTTACAAGGCTTGAGAGACAGTCCAAGCAAGAGCGTGTCTTTCGAAAACCCACCATGTTATCCGGAAATATATTATTTTTTTCTAAAAACCACTCTAAGCGTTTAGATAAAATAGAATGAAAAGTTTTGCAAAGGCAAGACATTAAAGAAATAGGTCTAAGTGAATTTAAAGAGTTAAGATCTCGTCCTGGTTTTAAAATAGGAAATATACGTGTCACGCCATTGTTTTGGAACAAGTCCAGTTCTTAAAGAAACATTGTATAAATCAATTAAAATGAGTTTATCTTGAGAGGAAGATTTTTCAACATAGAAAAAGATACTTCATCGCAGCCTGGGGCTGTATCTGACGACTTAAAACTTTTCTCTAATTCGTGTAGAGACACATATTTTTCTAGATTATGATTACTGGATTGGAAGTTAGGTGGCTTGTTAACAACATAATCAGGGGTTAAGCTGCATAGGAATCGCATAGCTTGATCTTCGTTTAAGTAGTTTTGTTTCGTATGATAACCCTTGTACCATTTCATTTTTCTCCACATTTCGGTAGAAGAACAATTTTGGTCGATAGAGGAACAAAATTTATGCCATGATTCACTTTTCGCTTTTCGGATCTCCTTTTGTGCGATTCGGATCTTATTCTGTAGCCAAACTAAGTTGTCGGGTGTAGGGTTTCTACGAAATTGTGCTAAAGCAAGTCGACGTTCGGCTACAACTTTAGAAAGAGCAAATGACCAGTAGTCCTTAGGTCTAAAATTATTACAGGGTTGTTGTATTATCTTAAATGATGGAATGTGTAGGTCTGCAGCTTTATTAAGATTGTACATAAACTGATTGTACGATTCCTGAAGGTTGTCAGATACTTTGAATTCGGCAAATAGATCTTCAAGATGGATGCGATAGTTAGGCCAGTTAGCTTTTTTCAAGTTTCTTCGAATGACAGGTTGTGTATTGTTTATATAGTCCGTACAAATTTTTATGATGAGGTGGTCACTTCCCAGACTCTCATTTGTCACAGACCAGTCATAGTTGATTGCAATATCCGAGGATATGATGGATAAATCTGGAGAAGACTGTTGAACAACGCCATTCACCAGTCTGATTCTTGTAGGATCACCATTGTTCATAATAATAAGATTAAAGCTTAAAAGGAAATCGAATATCTGTTTACCTCTTATATCATTTTTATAAGATCAACTGTTATGATGGCCGTTGAAATCTCCAAGTATCAAGGTTCTTTTATCACATATAGAGAAAAATTCATCCTAGTCTTGCTGACTTGTTCTAGTCTTTGAACAGAAGGAGGACAGTACACGGAAATGACGTTTTTAATTGATGCACAGTCGTGAGTTGTAATACTTAAAATTTCAATCCCTGAGTTACGGATATGAATAGGGAAAATTTGAGCCTTGATGGAATACTGCGTTAAGATCAAAACACCTCCATATCCATCCCACCTGTCTTTCCTAAAAATATTGTACCCGGTCATTCTTACATTAAAATCTGGTTTAAGCCAAGTTTCATTTAGTGCAGCAATGTGTATTTTCTCTTGGGCCAATAGGGCTTCTAATTGGGGTAGTTTGTTTTTAATACTCTGACAATTCCAATATATAACGTTTAAGTTTTTAGTATTATTTAGCGCCATCGGAATAACTAGGAAAATGTTTAAAGCGAGGCATTTCAAATTAAGTTATTTAAAAACAGCTGTGTAAACCATTCAATAAATATTTGGACACAGATATTGATTTTATTAGCTAATGTATACCTTTTTTTAAATATTACGGTCTGCAGTTTTTCCCATAGTTGTTTAGTTTTTAATGAAATATTCTCTGTTGCTTAATTAATATTAGCGTCCTATTGTTTGTTGCTAGCAGCATCCCCCGAGTCCGAACTTTGGCAATTCCAATCAAAGGATATATCATTGTCTTTTTGACGATTTTGTCGACGCCTTGATTTAGTTATGCCTGCCTTAGTCTGGTTTGCTAGGCCTGAAGGAACTTGCTTTGTATATTCAGTCGTTTTAGAGCTCCGATTGCAAACAGTGGCATATGATGGTACAGTCACCCTAGAAGTAGAGGGGATTATATTGCTGTGGCTAGCCTGTAGTGGATGTTCGGATGCGCTTGGTGTTTTATAATTGATTATCAAATAAGAGTCTTTTTCTGGAATAGGTGTAGAAGATGGAACGTAAAGAGTAAGAGCTTTCTTATAGGAACAGTTGAAGTCAGACATAATGTTACGAATTTTCCGTTCTTTTTCGTATTTGGGACAATTTTTACTGAGGGCCATGTGGTTACCCTTACAATTAACACATATAAATGATGTTGTGTCACAAGATTCATGATTTTGGGCGCATTTTGGGCAAACGATTTTTCTTTTTGGGCATATCTTTCTGAAGTGACCATATTGCCAGCAGTAACTACATTGTGTCACAGGATAGACGTATGGCTCAACTTTGATTCGAATTCCGAACATATGTACAAAAGCTGGTAACGAAGAACCTTTGAAACATATTCTTACTGTCTCACTCTCTGTCCACCCATCCTGATTTTTGCATTTACGACTAAGTCGTAAATGCAAAAATCAGGAATTTTAAGGAAATTATTTCCGTGCCACAGGATATACTTTCCATTATTTCTTCTATTGTGCAGTCTATTTCAATGTTCCTGATTTATCCGTATGTTGTTTCAACCTCCATAGACTTTCTAAAAAACCATCCTTTTTCCTTAAATTCTGTACAATTCATAAATTTTTGTAAGTCGGTTTCTTTTTCGAATTTCAAAATTATCTTAAATGGGTTAATATATTTAATTTGTAATATGTTGCCAATATTATTAGCTTTTAAAAGTTTAGCTAATTGGAATTGTTTGGGTAAGACTTCCTTGCACATTAATAACACTTCGGATTTATCATCTGGTATTGGTATAAAGCTCCCTATACCATGTCGTTTTCCGGATCTTGTTATAACATTCCAACTATCACCATCATCATGAAAACTTTCATCTGTCTCCCTTGGTCGTTTGTTGGGTCGGTCTTCACTTTCCCTCTCCGCAATATTTATCTGCATACTGCCCTCTTTTTCTTGTGTATTTAACTCCATACTAGTGTTATTGATTCCGATCGCCGCTAATGAGTCACAACTCGACATTGTATACGCATTGTAGTAGGCCGCACAGATGTTCGAGCGGCCGCTCGACGTCGCCGACACAAATCGGAGAATAGAAAACAAAAAATATGTTGCGCACGTGTTACTCGGACCTCGAACGGAAGCACACTGCCTTTATTCTTGCTGTTGTAAGGATCCCTTCAATTTAGGGCAGATTTTTTCAAGTTTGGAAGCCTTAATCGGTACCATGAGGGAGCTTCACGCCCATCTATAGTTGCTGTAGTCGTACTTAACCAAAGGGGATGAAATACTCCCTCAGTTGACACACAACATTGTACTGAGACTCATCATACTTCAGTTTGAAGGATCGTCGGACGATATACAAAATTTAAGCGTAAGATCCAAAGAATTTCCACATCCTATTCTATCTTATACAATTATCACAATATTATACAACTTGACGATCAAATTCGGGTGTAGAGTAGAACGAAACAAACGCCTAATTCTACACATTTCAGCATTTTTTTTAAATCTTTGATTATATAAAAGTAAAGTTTCATATATACATTTTTTTTTTTATTTTAACCACTTTAAGAAATAAACAAATTCATGGAATTGTACATTTATAACTGCTTCTACTGTTGCATGAATGGGAAAATTTGTCCGGAAAAGTAACATGGCCTCACAGAAGACCGTGGCGTGAAGTGGAAGTATATTCGTTTCTTCTGCTGAATGAACGGGTCTCAAGTAGATACCTATAGCGGCAATCACTTAAAATCAGATATTGATGTTAGTTGATTTACAATCAGATATTCGTTTTCCAACTTTTCACATAAATAAAAATTGTCTCATTAAAATCTACACTTTTCGGAAAATATTTCGTGTGTTCAAGTACAAACATTGATTTTGCTAAAATTATCAAAATACTTATTCTTATACAAATAATAGTATACCTTATTTAGTGGCCGTGGTGCAAATTATAGCAGTCTAGATTCTAATTTTGCTCATAATTTAGTATAAATAGGGCCGTTCAAAACCTTACAAAATCGTTTGTTATGAAATAGGATTTTATTTTATTATATTTGATCTGATAGACTATAAAATAGATTACAGTTATTCCACAAATGAGCAGCGGTATGTTGTCTTTTTATATCTATTATGATGTAATCGCAACAAGTTGTCGATAACAGAATAATCTTATGTCATTTCGAATTTATTATTTTATACTCATTAACCAAATGTTTGTATCCTTTCTATATTTAGATATGTATGTAGGATCTCAATTACAGAGAGGGTGTTTCAGTATTACACTATCTAATTTGTGTCTTCTATTTTATTCTCTACTCGGTTCCCTGTAGGCTAAAGCTTGACATTTTAAAAAAGTCATCTACACACTAGATAACTATGTATACAATAACTACAAATGTATACAATAACTATATTTATAATTATATACAATAACTATATAATTATAAAAATTATTTTAGCTTGATATCCAGCGGCCTTAAGGACTTTCTTCTCCTCTCATCCACGTATACATGGTTTACTTAATCGTCATGGAATCGTTCTGCGAATTATTCCAATGATATATTTTAAAAATTACGTAGTCATTTTCTTAAATTATATATGACATCTGAATGAAAAATGTATCTTTCAAAAAAATATAATAATACAAAAAAGGAAGATTACCAAATCAACAATTTTATTGCTTTAATCTTATAACATGGTTCGATCACTGTCAGTACATGTATGGTGCATTGCATCCGCAGCCGCATCTGCCGGAAATGGTGACGATGCCTCCCGCTGGCACGTCGCCACCGAACTTTACTGCTCCTAGTATAGGCACTTGGCCAGCTACTAAGGTGCTACCAGCTACTGGCATCTCACCAGCTACGGTAACGTCCCCGACGCCAGCCCCACCGTAGCTTGGAGCGTAAGGTGAAGCACCGAAACCATAGTTATACCCCAGAGCTGGTGCAAGACCTGCTCCGTACCCGAGGTCAAGACCGGGCCCATAAGCCGGACCGTATTCCGCCGCCACACCTGGTGCATAACCCAGGCCGAGACCTGGCTCTAAGCACTGACCAAGCGCATGCTGGAAATGTAATCATTGAATAGTATCAACCATTTGCGTAAGTTAATTTATAATTAAATTGGAGATTAAAAAAATCTTTGGAATTAACGTATCAGACATTTTGAAACTAAGAAAACCTCAAGGGAGCCAGTCGGTTTAAATTATACTTATAAAACTACAATTTCTGGCAGAATGGGCTATTAAATTAAAATAACTGTATTTGAATCTGAGAAATAAGACTGCTTATTCTCGTCACATTAAATGTTTTTCTTGTTAATACAACACATGAATGAGCAAATTATAAAAATGCATCGAAGTTACCTGAAGCATGAAAGCTTGGATACAGAAGAGGACGATTGAAATGGGTCCCATGTCGAGGTGTACACTTTATGGAGTATAATTTATTTTTAATATTCACCGAGTACAGTGTTAGCTTTTATACTACATCAAAAATTTAGTAACAATTTAGTAACAGATATTTCAATATTATGAATCGAAGGTTACGTGACAGTTATTGTAACTTTGTATTAAATGTTATTAAATAACCGTAGCCACGTGCTTAGGCTACATATTATTCAACCTGTTTCATTTTGATTACATGTTATTCTGCTAGCAAATAACCTTTTAATCAACTCTGCCAAATTCCGTAATCGAGAGCTGTGATAGCTCAAGCGTCCGGGCGCTCGCTTTTAATTCAGTATACTTGAGCAAGCTATGTTCAAATCCCGCTGCCAAGGCACCAATGAAATTGTTTAGCATTTGAATTTGCTTAGCAGTGGGCTGTTACTTCATTTCAATTTTACTTCATTTCAATTTTTTTAAATTCAAGTCTTCCGTGGCGTAGCTGCCAAGGTATCGGCTTTGGCGTCGGGGGTCGTGGGTTCGATTCCCACACGGGACAACTATTTGTGTGACCCACAGATAGTTGTTCCGCATCTGGGTGTTTGTTCGCGTGTTATGTTTGTAAAAACGTCCTTACAACACAGGATAATGTTATCCCAAAGTAAGGGCAATGTTAAAAAAAAAAGAAGTCTTTGTAGGAAACCAAAAATGAACTAATTTAATGTGGTGTAATTTTATCTAATAAAATATGATTGAAATTAAGTTAATTTAATTGCTTTTAAGGAAGACATCGCCACTCAAGTGACATCCATGTCCATATCTTCTGACGTCTGATGAAGATTTTCTCAAGTGACTTTGCCCGCGACGAACATCAGTCCTTTATTTAAAGAATAAATAAGTGATTTTTAGAGGATCCACGGTATTACAGTGGATCGAGAATATACGGCTAACGGTTCTCAAAAATTGGTAAACCGCTGTCACTTAGTGTACTGCAGGCAATCCACTATGAAACAGAGGTTACCAAAAATATCTCTTGTTAAAAAGTGTCTCTTGAAAAACTTATAGGTTAATAATAAAAAATTATAGCATTTGATGAGACATTTTGTATGTTTTAATATTTTATTCTCGAAACACCTAAACCTAAATCCTTTCAATTGATCGGCCTCGTAACAGATTTTGAATATAAAGTTTTGTCCTGTATTTTACTGCAGGTAAAATTTACACAAACATTGCATTAAAATTTTTTTGGTATTTAAATAAAAGTTGAAATACCGACGGATCATTTTAAAATTCTATTCTTTCTTTCCGCTATTCGATCGTTATCGTAGAATTAAAACCCAGAATGATGGATTCGAGTACAAAACTATCTAGATCATCATCCTAAAAATATGTCTAACATCCAATCATATGAAATTTAAAAATTTTAATCGAATTATATATTAAAATAAAGTCATATATAAATTGAAGTGGTTTAAAGATTTCAATGTGTGTTCCGTACCTTAAAAGGTAAAAAAGGAACCCTTATAAGATCACTTACTGGTCTGTCTGTCTGTCTGTGTGTCACCACCGATTTTCTCAGGAACGGGTGGACCTAGCAAGTTGAAATTTATATCAGATATTAAAATCAAGGAAATAAGTCATGTAATGTCATAATAGCTCGGTCGGTAATCGGGCGGCCCCAAAACAGACGGCCGTGGTTCGCATCACGATCATTTACACATTTATTTTTTTACTTTTTTTTCGATTCCAGATCATTGCTATCATTATTTTTAATTTTTTATTATAGTTCTTTCTTTTGTGAAAAACAACAGTTCATATTTTCTTATTATTACGTCGGTAAGATCGAAATATATCATGCATATTTCATTACTCAGTAATTTGTATCTAAATGTAATTTCCAAAATACACGATTTACCAAAAAAATTAACAAACCGAGCAAAGCTAAAAAGGTCCTCCGGGTACTATAATTTATTGATCATACACTATGAATACTTATTTCAACAAAAAATACAATCATGTCAATCAGAACAGCCAAAAAAACCAGAAACAGATCAACCAGAAGAACTGTAAAAGACTTTTGCTTTTACACCATAGATTTCAAATCAGTCCTCTCAAATACGTAGTCATAATGCAAGTTTAATAATAGCTCAAGAGGGAAATCGAGCTTTCTCGAAACCATATTTTCCCTTTTTTGTTTGAAGTCCTTTCGTTTGTGAGAAAAAAAAACAGTCATCCTGGTACTGCATTTAAAATACTCGTGTAAATTCAAATTTCATTGTAGTTAACATTATTTAAATTTCCTAATAATTTACATCACATTTATCGGCCACGTATCTTTTAGACTTCGAAACTACGACGATGCTTCCGTAACATTTCTTTCGAATACGTTCAACTGATAATAGTTCATTAGACTCTATATAAAGTAAAAATCAAGTACTAGTATCATATCAATCACTTGTTCGCTCAAGCAAAACAAACATGTCTACCAAAACTGTTCTTATTCTGTATGTACAGAGTGCTCTTATTCAGGTAAGTTTCAAGTAAAAAAAACAAATCTCTAGTTTCTCTCACAGAAGCCTGTAGATAAACTTGTATTAACGGCTATATGTATCGAAAATTTAGAATACCATTAAAATGTAAGTGTTGTATTATGGTGTATACAAATTTTCTTTTTTTAGCTTATTGCTTGTCAGTGCATCGGCAATGGACTGAACAACATGATCGCACCTGGCTTCGCCGGCGGTGAAGGTATGGGTTGGGGTGGTCCAGGATTCGGCTATGGACCAATGGGTGCTCCTTTCGCACCAGGCCCCATGATCGCTCCCGAATGGACGCCTCTGGGGCCCGCTAACGTTCCTTCTTCAAACGGTGGCGGTTTCTTCGTGACCAGTTCTTCCCCAATAGCGCCCGTCGGGGTGTCCGTCATCTCGGACAATGAGTACACTGGACCGTTGGCCGTAGGTGGACAGCTGCCTTTCTTGGGTACCGTCGGCCTGGAAGGCGCCCTACCCTCAACAGGCACTGGTGCTGTTACTTATGGTTGTGGGAACGGTAACATTGGCATGGTGAGCGAAGCAGGAGCCGAGATGGCCTACGCTAACGGACTAGCACCGGGCTATGGATTCGCTCCTGGTTTCCCCGGAGCCAACTACGGCTTTGGGGCGGCAGGTTTCGGTATAAACAGTCTGAACAGATGTGAAACTATTTAACTACATGTATTATAGATGTTACAAATTGTTAATAAAGTATATTAATTAATATTTAATGGATTTTATTTTATATATTTCAATTATTTACATATACGTTTATACACTTTTTATACGTATTCTTGAGTTTTATTACGATAGACGTTATGAAATTTAAGAAGAAGCAAATAATTAAAAATAACTTATTAACATTAATATTAACACAACTTATTAAAAGAACTAATTAATAGAATTAAAAAGAACACTTAACATCAGGTGAACCGTCTGCTCGATTGGCAACTTTTCACATAAAAAAAGAACAACAGAACCTCATTAAAAATCTTGTCATGTTTTACTCAAGACTTTTTTAAGTTTTAATATTTTTTAAAATTCACATTTCATTTCCACTTGGCGTGCCTAAGTAGAGTTAAGTAGAAATATATTTATTATAAACTAGCTTTTCGCCCGTGGCTCGGCCCGTATGTACTGCATTTTATTTCGTGCTTAAAAAGTACCTATGAAACCCTTGGTACGCGAGTCCAGCTCGCACTTGACAGGTTTTTTTAACTTTATATAAACCTAAAATCATCATCATTATACAGACCATAATGTATAGTTAACTATTATTATTATATAGCTAATTATTATTATTATTGGGGGGATATTTATTTGTTTTCTCGTCTGGTTGGGTTTATAGATAAAAATTAAATATATTGCATATATAAAATAAATATTATGAATTAAAATAAATATATAGATATAAATATTGTATATAATACAATATTAAATATTATATATAATACATATATAAATAGGACCCAACCAGACGGAAGCCCTCGGCAGGGGAGACCAAACGGCCGAGGGTTAGGGTGAAAGGGAGAGAAACCGGAGAACCCTATTATTATTATTATTATCATTATACAGACCATAATATATAGTTAACTATAGTTTTATCCAATTCAATTGTTGCTATTAATATGATAGTATTTTATCGCACATACTATCATCATCTTAAATGTGGTATTTTAACATAACTTTTTTTTATTTATGAACCGATTTAAATAAAACTAACACATTTAGTGTTAAGTGAAGCTTACAATGCATAAGTAAAAGTTGCACCGAAATAGACAGACAAACAGACAAAAACTTTAACTATCATCTATTTGTGTTCTACTGCGTTGTTAAAGGCCCCCAATTACAGTTTTTCTCAAATATCTTCCATGTACAGACAACGAACAGTACACAGCTAGTATATAAAAAAAAAAAATTATATACTAGCTGTGCCCGCGACTACGTCCGCGTGGAATTTTAATTTAAAAAAAAATCTTTCAAGATTTTTTTCAATTAAAATTCCAGAGATTAGCCGGAACAGACAGACAGACAAAAATTGTAAGAAATGTTATTTTGGTATATAGGTATACCATGTATACATCCATATGCATTTAGTAAAAAGCGTTTGTTTTAATATTACAAACTTTTATATAATATTATCTGTATAGATGTATAAATAAAGCTGACAAAAGAATATTATAAATAATCACAGCAAGACAGAAGCCCTCAGCAGGACAGGTAAAGAAAATGGTCTCAAAGAAAACCTTTCTAATTCGTTATTGAATAATTCTTAGCTGTAGTCTCAGTCAGATGAAATTTCGCTTTTAATATTTTTTGATCAATTGTCAAATTTAAAAAAAATTCGGCGCTGTGTTTCCAACATGTGGCTTCCACGTAACGCGTCCAGACGGTCTAACCGATATTCTCACGTCGTGAATATCTCGATACCTTTCCATTCATTTCATTCACTTTCTTTGCATTTTAGCAATTCTTGACGCCATCATGATAATTTAACCACAAAAGATCATTTGTAAAAGTTCATATATAAGATATCTTAAGGCGAACAAAGTTCGTAATTATTTCAACCATAAAAAATCTAAAATAATATTTTTGCGATCACCGCCGTTCATATAATGAGACATTTTATATAATAACAATTTTGTTCTACAGCAGATGCCTCCATTGATGACATCTTCATCCAGTTCCGAACTAGAGTTTCATAAAGATAATATTAAAAACTGTACGAAACTAAATTATAATAAAATTTTCAATAACCATTCAAAACGTTACCACACCTTATGCTATCTGTATGAAACAACGAGTAGGTACGAGGCATACGTGTTGAAATTGGTTTAGTCCTATCACTTTCAATGTACAACACAAAGTAGATATTAAATTCGTCATACACAAAAAATTACTTGAGTGTCTGTAATAAATGAAACACACAATAATTATGACAACAAAACGAAAATCAATTTTATTTATTTCATTTAACAATACCTACGCATAAGCTAAGCAATAATTTATATACTTGATATGAATTAAATTAGAAAGAATATTTTTGGGGGGTATTTATCAACGCAATAGAACTGAAAACAATTATTTAAAAAAAATGTGTCTGTTTGTGTGCGCTAATCTCAGCAACGGCTTAATCGATTTGGGTGCAACTTTCACTAATGCCTTGTAGTAAGCTTCACTTAACTTTTATTTTTGTTTAAATAGGTTCATGAATAAAAAAAAATATATCAACTTAAAGAACCACATTGAAGATTTGTGCCATAAAATGTTATATAATTGCTAAGGTTGAAATGGATGAAACTATAAATAGCTTTATATTGTAGCTTTGTATTGCTTTATGTCTGTAAAATGATGATAATTGTATGTTTATTGTACATTGCATAAATTTGTTGTTCTATTGTTACTTTTATGTATATTGTTATTTGTGGTGGACAATAAAAGTGTATTCATTCATTCATTCATTCATAATTGTATGTTTATATAAACTTAAAAAACCGGCCAAGTGTGAGGCGGAATTGCGCACGTACGGTTCCATTATGTATGAAAATTGCAAAAAAAATAATGTCTGCTGCACGTGAGCCCCACCTAAATCGAGTCGAGGCGAGTCTTTCGACCCACCAGCATTAAAATACTATAACCTTGCTAAAACATGATGTACACAGTTTTGTTCTGTACTGCTAAATTGGCCTTGAACCCAAATTCCATAGGCTTAAACTGAAAAGTTTGTGTGTTTGAACTCTCTAATCTCAGGGACGTCACTAGGGCCTATATTTTTACTAAGGTATTTGATACACTTACATAATTATTTAAATATTGTACAGAAATATCTTGATACAATAATGAAGTAAAAATGTTAAGTTACATCAGAGATTTTCCCATCCCTTACGTATTTATATCTATCGATATATATATATGTATATATATATATATATATATATATATATATATATATATATATATATATATATATATATATATTTTATCCATTTTTGAATTCGTAGAAACTTTTTGGAATCCGTTAGTAATTTGTACTATGGTAGAACCACGTAGCAGCTTCTGCTGTTACACGACTAAACAGGATCGTCCAGGGAAGTATCACGCCTAACAGAACACCAGAGCAGAGTGGAAGTATTCTACTTTTAAGTTTCGTCTGGTCAGTGAGGTAACCGAGGGCCACTTTTTTTTATGTTTTCAATGCATCTGCAAGCCTTTAAGTTTCGTGCATGTTCACTCTACATCTGGTGGCCCGCCCGTTCGCTTAAATTTTGAAACCCAGATAGTAGTACCGACACTTTACATCTTAGTTATAGTAGTGGGTACTATAGACTTCTCCTTTATTTAGTGAATTGATTAAGCTTCCTTCTATTGCATTTTAGCATGCAAGCATAGGCCAACTAGTGTGTATCCTTTACAGCATACAACGCCTTATAAATAACTGCAGTCAACGATGAATACTTATAACGAGAGATATCGCCCTATCCTTTATTGAAAACCTTTTTAAAAATCAATGTTTTTCCACCCCTCGAGCAATAATTAGCAGCTATTACTTAGAGACCTTTGGTTCATCTTCAGATTTTATAAATCAACAATTAAATAATAAAAGATTCAAATTAAACATTTATCGATAAAATTATAACATAAAATATGTCGACTTACATGTTACTTCATTTTTATGAATTAAGGCACGGTTTTAGATAATAGTTATGTAATTGATGTGATTATTTGAAATTACGATTTCAATGTCATATCTCATATCATATTACGACACTCTAAATCATCGTATAAAAGCGTTTGCGCGCGTCCAAGAATTATTCAGTATACATCTGTACTCCAAACATCATAAGATTAAAAAATGTCTTCTGTTAATTTTGCTTGTATCTTCCTATCACTTTTTATCCAGGTAATTATACAAGCTGTCCATAACTAAGCTTTAAGATTAAGATTTTTTGAGACTTGTTTTTTTTTGTTTCTTATTAGAAAGATTTTCTCTATTAATTTATTGTAGTACAATATTAAACGAGCATATAACATATTAGATAACCTATATTTCCAGAACATCTATGGTCAAGTCATGGGGGCTCCATTTAACAACGGTTTCCTAGCAAATGGAATTTCGTCGCCAAATGGTTTGGCAACTATGAATCCTTTGGCAGCAGCTAACAACATTGCAGCTTCCACCAACATAGCTGCTGCTAATTCTATAGCAGCTGCCAACAATATAGCAGCTACCAATAACATTGCGGCTGCTAATAATATAGCAACGGCCAATAATTTAGCAGTTGCTAGTACTTTAGCGGCGGCCGAAGCTGTGACACCGTGCGCAGCCAATGTACTTGGATATGAACCCAAGTTAGGTGGTCTACGAATCGGTGATATTGCAGCTTCCAATAGTAGGGGATTCCAAGTTACTAGTTCGTCGCCCGGTGCTCCTCATGGCTTATCGGTTTTATCTGACAACATGGTGGTTGAAGGCCCACTCACAGTCGCTGGCCAACTTCCATTCCTGGGCAGCGTGGCACTAGAGGGACCTCTAGCAGCGACTGGGCAAGGTGCAGTTTCATACGGTTGCGGCAATGGAAACGTGGGTATTGTGAACGAAAGTGCTGGGCCCATGGGCCCAACAGGTGGGATGCCTTATGGTGGGCTTCCTATGGGCCCGGGATATGGTGGATTCCCAATGGGTCCGAACGGAATTGGTTTCAACAGCATTGGTGCCACTGTTCCTAAGGAACTTCCAAGTGGATGTCAAACTATCATATAGTTAGACAATACGATCACGTCGTTGTAAAAATTCGTAACTAACGAATTTATCGTGCATTTAATGTAACATTTCTTTAAACGCTTAATTTATATACGTTATAACTAAATAAAAGACATACTAATATATATGTTTTTTCAATTTAATGCCTTTGCAATACAAAAATATAATATTTATAAGTAATATAAATCATAATAATATAAAAGTATACTTTCTTACACTGTTCGAACTTCTGAGTAGATAGTTATCTAGGTATCAGTATAAGGTTATTTTGTTAAAATTATGTACGTATTATCATTTTTATACTATTTCTTAACTGTTTATTAAGTTGTAAAGTGTATAAAACATATTTTGTTCAATGTAAAAAATACTACACAAAAATAAATGTACTCGTAGTTATTAACCAATTTGGTTTGTACATACTTTGACATATGTAGTATTTTAAACGAATTTTTATATGAAGTATATAATTATTTATTTATTTAATCTCGCCAACTAAATCGGTATTTACGACTACAGAACGTTGCCGAGTATTGACTTCACTGTCATTAATTATTATATTACTCATAGACTTGGAATGACAAAAATATTGAGAATTAGGTACGAAATATTCATGTGCAAAATATATTCTGCTCTAAGATTACTGATCGCCAATGAGTCTACACAAGAATTGTGCTAAACCAAGACTTTGTCTCTGTCCCAAGGGGTCATTATCAAGCCGTATTTTAATATATTTATTTTTAAAAAAGTATTACGAAGTACGTATTACGAAATAATCAAGACTTAAAAAAAAAACAAATTCTTCTTTTTGGTTATTGGCATTGCCTACACCAACACAATAAATAATTTAACAATGATTTATTCCATTTTATAAATAATTTTTATAAAACTTTTAGCGATATCTCTGTTATGGTCTCTACAGCAGAAATTACCCGTTCAGAAGGGAAAGATGGATGTAGTTGGTATGCGACAGAATTTAACAGTTGCTTTCCTTAATAATTATTAGTACCCTATATATTTCTTTTATATATTGAGAATCTTAATTTCATACTTTATATATTCACATACTGTTTATGGACCAAGATCCAAGGCAAAAAATGCTCTGAATTTATTAAAGCTATCTGCCAGTTAATTACACTAATTGTTTATCCTGCGATCAGACAAGCGAAATATTTTTACTGTGGTGGGGGCACAGAGTCTTCTCCATTGCACAAACGGGCAGGAAAGTACCATGACCACACTGAAGACCACGTGAAGTGGAAGTTTTATTTTTCTGCGTTGTCTGGTGAGTCAGGTAACTGAGTCCACGTCATTAAATGCTGGCTACGCATCTGCAACCCTCCTACGAATGTAGAAAATGTCCATGGGCAGTTGTTATCACTTAACATCATGAATCGCCAGCTCGATTGGTATCGGTCTCGTGCACGAAGGGTTCCGTACCATTATCATGTCTGTCGTATGGCAGCCCTAATTAAATATTTTTTAATTCTGTACTTTAGAATTTATCTGTTATAGCGGTAACAAAAATACATCTGTGAAAATTTCAACAGTCTAACAGACAGATAGACAGACAGACAGACAGCGGAGTCTTATTAATGGGGTCCCGTTTAAGCCTTTGGGTGCGGAACCCAAAAATGTAGAACATGCGTCTCAAATATCATATCAGACGTGTCATCACTACTATTAAGATATTTACTTAGGCTGAAAATCGTTTTACAGATATATTGTATTAAATATAAATAACTTTTATGTCAGTCGGTCAATTAAATGTGAGAACAGAGCTGGTTAGTCAGCCCCAATGTATGTACAATAAATAAAGATGCGATTTGTATACAGGGTGGCTTTTCTAAGTGTATCCATTTTTTTATTAAAATCTAGACAAATGATGTTATATAAAAATTATAAATATTTAAAATCACTCTTAAGTAATTAATTACATTAATTTTAACTCATCTCAAAAAGTGCGTGATTTATACGCAACTCATTTATTTTACGCGCGATCATTCATAAATAACACGCACAAGTTCGTGCACAGTAAAATTAAGGTTTTTATGAATGACTACCGCATTGTCAACACGTTCTGTTTTTTAGGGAAAAGAATGGCATTTTTTTTAAATCTTTTTTTTTATTTCAATAAACGATTATACTACCGAGTCTGAACTTCCTGTGTAAATTTCGGCACTTCTCAAAAAATCTTCCTGTATAGATAGTTATAAATCAAAAGATGCACTCTATACTTTATCTGTTTTATTTCTGAGAGCCGTGATAGCTCAGTGTCAGGGCGCTCGCCTTTTATTTAATATACTCGAGCAAACTGAGTTACATCCCCGGTGCCAGTACCAATGAAATTGTCAATTTAAAGTGCTGAATTATCACGTGCTCAGCGGTGAAGGAAAACATCGTAAGGAAACCTGCATATTTTCGAAATAATAAAAGAATTTTTTTTAAAGATATGTAAAGTCCGCCAATACGCAGTGGGGCCGCGTGGTGGACTATGCCCTAATAACCTCTGTACAGAGGAGGCCTTTGCCCAGCATGTGGGACATGTATAGGCTGATACTTTACTTTTTTATTTCTCATTTTGACATTTCATCCAGAATTTAATGATTCTACTTCTTCCTCGTCGATAATGGGTCTTTAATCACCACTGGTTTTGTTTTTAAATTAGTTTATTATTACACCATTTAGACCGCAGCTGCAGCTTCCAGATACAGCGATGACCCCACCGGCCGGTACCTCACCACCGAAGCGCACATTGCCCACAACAGGAACCTGGCCTACTACGACGGTGCTGCCAGCGACGGGCATCTCTCCGGCCACCGATATATCTCCGGTACCAGTACCCCCATAGGGCATGGCATTGTAAGGAGCGGGTAATCCCGGGCGTCCCAACGCTCCAAAAGCTACGGCTGGTTCCAATGCCGGCTCTTGAAGGCATTGACTGAATGAAACCTATTAAAAAAAATTCTCAATTAATTAGAGTTAAATTTATACCACTTGTGTAAACGTTTAATATTGATCCTTTGTCGGCGTTTTGTTTTTGTAACTAGAAATGTTGCAAAAGTTTAGAATCATCGGAAGTTGAAAATTAATTAATAAATAAAATATACCAATAATACTCAAGGACTAAACTTAAAATGATTATACTTTTAGACAGAATGTAACAGTCTTGTCCCTTCTATAATTTAATTGCATGAATATTTAGTTATTTGTATTCTATTATAGGTTATTATTGCATTAGAAGAATTATTTTCTACTTATATTCTGGACATGATTTTTTTTTATATTAATAAAAAAAAGAACTAATAAGTAATAAAAAGATTACAACAAGTTATCTTGCTATCATCATCATTAGCCATCTAATATTACCTGAAACAAACAAGTTAAAAGCAAACCCGCTAAACACAACATTTTTCAGTGACCAAAATCAAAACTGTTATAAGACACTAGTCACGAATCCATACTACATGATTTATATTTATAATTTTATTTCGTTATCAATTTTGCAAGACCAACACAAGCGTGTAATGTTGGTAAATTATTATTTAATAAGTATAGATAAATTACCTTCAATGACACGCAATCGTTTGAATTAAGAAAGTATTGCTTACTCTGACTAATTTACATAAAAAGGCACATAAACTGATATATAAACTTTTACTGCAAGAGAAAACTACCATTGCAGTTTAAACTCATTAACAAAATCATGTACTCCAATATTTTACTTATCTGCTTTTCAGCAATTCTACTGAAGGTATTATATTGGTAGCGTTATTAAATAACGCTGAAGTAATAAGTTTTTTTTGTAATCATTTTCGTTGAATACAGCTTAAAACACTTTTCTTACTGCTCTCACTGAAACGTAAAATATCGCGTTGGCTAAAAAAGCCATTTGCATTGTTTTCCTTTGTTCATAAATTCTTGTATAATCATTATACTTAACTGTTTCAGACAATACACTGCCAATGCATAGGAAATCCGTACACCGGGACCGTCGGCAATGGTTTTGCTGCCGAAAATCTGGTTCTGGGGAAACCCGGGATATCATTGGCAACGCCTCTAACGGGACTGCCATGCGGACCGATCGTTGCCGAGACTCCACTGACGTACGCGCCTGGCATTATTGAGAGCTTCCCACTCGCGATCACTTCTAGAATCCCTCCCGGAAGCTTGTCCGTATTCTCTGACAACCTGGTTATCGAGGGCCCTATCATCGTGAACGGTGAACTGCCTTTCTTGGCCAGCGTGGCCGTGCAAGGGCAAGTGCCCGCCGTCGGTCGAGGCACAGTCTCCTACGGGTGCGGGAACGGCGAAATCGGCATCACCGCCGAGGGCGTCGCTCCACCAGCATCCCCGTTCAGTTACGGCAACGGATTCGGCTACTCCTCAGACTTCGCTTTCCCTAGCCTGGGACTAGGCCCTTACGTCCGCGGATGCATCCCGTAAAACCATCTTTACGTCGAGTTGTGTTGAATAGTGTTACAATTTTGAATGTTCTCTAGTATTTTTGTTGAATAATAAATAAAAATTAAAATTTATTTACATTTTCTGTTTCATTCTTGGTTTTCCTTATTTATGAATAAGACAGTTAAGATTTTTAACAAAAATTTAACAATAGTACCAACTTTGTGTAGATATAACAAAGAGAGTTTATATGACGTATTTGTATTTGTAGCTGTGCTTTTGCTCCCATACTTACACTATACTACTTTACATTTAACCATTTCTACAAAATGATATTGCAGCGAATTACTGAAATCTAAGTTTTTCACTACCGTTCGTTAAAAATCGGTAAGATAAATATTGTGTCTAAACCGGCTGCAGAAACACATAGCATAATAATTTTAAACATACTACGTGGGACACACTGAAAGTTCTTAGAAAATCATAAAACAGCTCAATATAGAAAGTTGCCAATACTTTTATTGTTATCTGAAGTAGTCTTCTTACCTCTGTATACCTACATCTGTTCTTCGAATTCAATTGGAACCACTGAGAAAAGCAGTGGTTCTATTCTCCGTTAGAGGTCTCGTCTACAGCATTTTCGAACACACTCACAGTATCTTCAGGCCTTGTAAAACGAATACCTCGAATTTTTTACCGTTTTTGGTTCAATGATATCAGTACATAGTATAAAACAAATTCGACGCACCGTATGTCTGTCTCTATGTAGGCTTAGATTTTTAAAACTACGCAAAAGATCTTGATGCGACTATATAATACATTGCACCCGTGTTAAGCTGGGACGGGTCGCTAGTTGATAATAAATCAAGCAATACACCAATTTCACCTATATAATCAATAACTTCGTTATTCGTCTTCTAGTCAAGGAAAGGTAAAAGGTGTATCACATAAAGCTTGCAACCTAAAACTAAAGTATTTTCAATCATCACAGAAGACCGGCGTAAAGGGGAAGTATAATACTTTCACGTTTCGCCTGGTGAGTGAGGTGGCCAGAGCCCAATTTTAAAAGGTTGTCAACACAGATAATAGATCCATGGGCGGCGGTATTCACTTAACATCAAGTGAACCGTCAGCACGTTTGGCAACTTCTCACATTAAAAAAAATCATCATCATTTCAGACCTCGACAATGATTCCACAAATTTTGGTGAATGGACGAGCCGCTTTGATTACGATTATTCTTCTGTAAGAGGAAGTAGTAAAATTCAACATATGAACTGTATTTTTTTGACATCAAGAAGACGTATGATAATAAAGGAAAACCATGTTTCATTTTTTTCATGACAGTCAAAAACCAACATCCGTTCATTAAATTAGGCTAGCCCAAACCTTGAAAAATATTTCCAGTTATCATCACTTCGAACCTCTTTGAAGATATTCTGGACTATGAATTGAGGCACTGGGAACTATATCATAATATATACAGTAAATATGTAATTGTAAGCGAATATGTGTTTTAAATATGTGCAAAACAATTTTCATATCAAAAAATCTACTTACACGGGAAAAATACATTTAATAATGATATTAAATGACATGAAGTCAATAAAACAAAGATCCCTTGCCGCCTTTATCGCATACGACCAAGAAATTTCACAAGCAATTATGCTAACATAGAAATTCCCTACTTATTGCCGATTAAACAATACTAATTTTGCAATGTTAATAAATTTTGACCTTCATTCATTGATTCAAAGAATTATGCTAACACACAGATATTCGCTAGTTATTGCCGACTTAGCAATACTCATGTTACAATCAATGTTAATCCAACATAGACATCATTTTAAGTAACACAAAGCAAAATGCTATTGTTATAAAAATGGCTTGATACGTTGAAATAATTATGTCGATATAAGGTTTTCAAATATCTCTTATCTTTCTATATCTTAACATTTAAAGCAGTTTTTGGTTTTTACAATACTCCAATAAATTGTCACTCGTAATAATGTAACACAAATCAGTTTGGTTATGATCAAAATTTGAACTAACTCACTCAAACGCACATCATACGGTAAGGTGACGGGGATCACGGGTTCGATCCTATCCGATAATTGTTTCGGGTCTGGGTATTCGTGAACGCATCTACTAAGGAGTATCCATGTTATGGTGTAATATCATAGTTTTTCGGCATAACGCATCAAATAATTTCATCAATGGATCATACTATGAAATGAAATGAAATTAATACAAAAATGTAATAAAGATGGAACCGTACATCGAATATATTCTTACATAATAATTTTGTCAATATTTCATCAAATCAACCCGAGACATCATTTTCATTTTAAGAACAGTTTATAAAGGCTTCTTTGTATTACAATATAAATTTAAAGTAATAATTGAAATGTAGGTTTATGTAATGATGATAAGGAGCGTCGTAACTATGAAATGTATAAAAGTCGATTTCTTTTGTTACAGTCATGTAAACAAAACATATTATTCAATCAATGGAAACATGGGAATGAAATGTGACCTAACGTTCTTAAAAATTCAGTATATAAACATTTACATAAATTTCAGCCTCCATTCCAACATAAACTTTGCAGCAAAGAAATAAAAATGTCAGTAAATTTTATCACGATCTGTACATTTGCATCATTGTTTCATGTAAGTATAAAGCTTGGGATATTAAATGATAGAATTAATCGTTTAATTAATTCTTACTAAAAACCACTTGCTACGCGCGAGAGGCAGTCGAAGTTTATGCTTGAAATTTTAAGAAAAATTGTAAGGGATGAAAATTTATAAATTAGCGTTGATGACTATTTTGAGCGTATCCCAAAAAAAAGTAAAATATCTTCTTTTTTACAGTTTATTGCCGGCCAGTGCGTTGGATCCGTGTACAATGCTGGCATTGTGGCCGTGGTTGCACCCGACAGTGTTTTAGGGTACACCAGCGTACATGGCGCGCCCATAGCACCTAATGGTCTGAGCGGCTTTGCCCCCAATCATGGCGGTGGGTTCACGGTGACCAGCGCATCACCAATCGCTCCCAACGGGGTGACCATAGTTTCTGACCATCTCATCGCGGAGGGGGCGCTTTCCGTCTGCGGGCAGCTGCCTGTCCTTGGCACGGCAGCTTTAGAGGGCCCCCTACCCGCTGCTGGTCAGGGCGCCGTAGAATATGGCTGTGGTGATGGCGAGGTCACCATTTTAAGTGAGAATATTTCTCCAGACTCATACATATACGTGGCGGGACCCGCTATCGATTACTCCCTGATCGGCTTGGCCCCTAATGTCGGGTGTAGCTATGTTTACTAGAGTATTAATATTGTTGATATTAAATATCTTCTGTTTGTAACATGTAATTTGTTTAAGTTATTGAATTAATTTCATCGATATTTTTTATATATATTGTGTGTCTTAATAAATATGGTGTATATATCACATATTACATATAACTCGTCGATATTTAAAGGTTCGTTGAAATTTTGCATTTATTAGTTTATTATTTAGTTTGAAGGACTATCTCAAAATTCCCCGTACACCTTGTCGTACTAGAAGGACTACACCAAATGGAATGGCCATAATATTTTTTTATTTATTTCATGGATGCAAGCTACACGTCCACTGTTAATTAAAATTATTTCACGGATATTATAGTGTTTAATTTTGACGTTTAATTCCCGAAATTTGTATCCTCGCAGTATCTGAGGTCGCGGGTATTATGAAACAAGATAAACAAATTATTCATGTTTATGGTAGTTTTTAGATTATTTTGTTTCATGTTCGAATACTATGTGTTTTTTTTTTTAATTCCCATAACCTTAAGATATTAAAGAAATTACAACTCAAAACATATGGATATTTATCGAATTATATTTTTAAATTTTGACATAAGACCACTATCCACAGACATGTTTCCTGCCATAAGTATAACTATTAGAACATAACCTTAAAGACATTGGAATTCAATATAAACACTTATGTTGTACCTATATATTAGTATTAGGTACATAACTACTGGTTGATCCGTGCTAAATTTTTCACACAGTATCGTGATCAGTCACTGAATGGTAACATAATATTCTTGTATCTTGTATTAACTGATGTTTTTGCTTTCAGTCCCGAGACTATTAAAGCTTCATCTGACACAGAACATAATATTGCGCAAGGTACTTAGGTTTTACGTATAAATGAAAATTTTATGTACTTTCCTATCTGTTACCTAAACACCCCGATAAATTGATGGTTTTATCATACAGTCTTTATAAGAAGTCTATAAAATAAACTTCTTTTTAATTAAAATAACAACTTTATTCCATTTGAATATTTTTCCTACCTTTAAAATTGTGATTTCGTCATTCAATTAGGTGAAAAATTATAAAACTTATGGCGTATCGAATAACGTCGAAACTGAGAAACAATATAAGTAAATTAGCTGACCCGGCAAATGCCCTATAAATTATTTCTAGGGCATTTGTTGGGTAAAAAGAAGTGGGGTGGACCACCCTTATCACTTAAGGGTATGAAAAATAGTTTATGACCGATTCTCAGCCTACAGACCTAGCAAATATTTTTTTTTATCTGAGGAAGTGGCAAACGAGCTGATGGTTCACCTGATGTTAAGTGATAACTGCCTGCCCATGGACATTTGCAACACCCGTAGGGTTACAGATGCATTGCCATCTCTTAATATGCCCTGTATATGTACTGTGGAGATATCTATACATATAATAAAAATCTAACTTGTCTTTGTCTGTACATGAAGGATATTTGAGAAAAACTATTATTTAAGATCCCCCTTTATCAACGCAATATAACCCATAACAATGGTTGTTAAAATTGTTGTCTGTGTGTATGTGCGTTTGTGCGCGTTAATCTCAGAAACGGCTTAACCGCAACTTTCACTAACGCATTGTAGTACTTCACTTAACATTTAGTGTTAGTTTTATTCAAATCTGTTCATAAATAAAAAAGTTATATCAACTTAAAAAAAAGTAATCGCTCCAGCTGAATTGGATGAAACTATAGTTTACTATAATTATATTATGGTCTGTAAAATTATGATGATTGTTAGATTATATAAATTAAAAACCAGCCAAGTGCGAGTCGCAATCGTACACGAAGCCAGTAGTAAGTATTCCATTCCGAAGTATTCCATACCATAATCTATAAAAAAGGCAATAAAATTATGTCTGTTGTATGAGAGCCCCACTTAAAAAAAAAATTCTAATTTCCTTTATTTGTTGTTGTAGCGTCAACAGAAATACATCATCTGTGAAAATTTCAACGGTCTAAATATCACAGTTTATGATATACATGTATCAAACAGATGCTAGCAGTCTAGCTAGAGCATCTGTCTTTTTGTTTGAACTCGCTAATCTCAGCGACTACTTTATCTAGGAAGGCTACTTTTTAAGAACGACATAAAATGTGGTACAAACGGGCCGAACGGCGGGTGAAAAGCTAGTGTACAATAAAATATCACTTTAAATACCAGCAAACCTTTTACAAGGTTACTTATAAACATACTTAAACATACTTTTCTTTTTTTAAATACATTTATAATATACTTCTTAAACGAACAACCGGACACTAGAAAATACGATGGTCATGCCAGAATATTTTTCACTAGTTTGTATCGAACCAAGATACTTTGGCGCAAGAGACAGTTTCACTACGTCAATTGGGTCGTCGGTATATTAGTCCGTTTTTTAATGGGGGAAAATTCCTTTATGGGCCCAACTGCCTTGTAAGTAGACAGCAAAGTATATGGGAGTCTACGATATCAGAGCACACACAAAAAACCCACATTGTACCTTCCTTGTCCCGTTTACCGTAGACACCAGAACACGTAAACGCAATCTTCGGTAAAACCCGGAGCAGCTGTGGCCTTCGCAGGTTGTTTCTTTTCTTTTCGAGTGTTAGAATATCCGGTTCGGCCAAAAGGTGCCGTGTCGGTGCAATTGACAAAACATACTGCTCAACCCCTCTGCGGGGCAGCAGTTAATTTAAAATTTTTGCCACCCCAAAGCTTGACTATTAGAGGTACTGTTACGCGCGTAGGCCACCCTCCTCCGGGTCTCCGGTGAATTTCCAGGGTGTAAGTTTCCCCAAAAAATAATACAGTCAACAACCAAGGTGATACCAATTAATGTGGAATTTACGGTACAAGCTTGTTGAATGATAAATACAGGACACGGTTTCAACCCCTCTTCTACTTCGTTTTTAAAGACCATCACAATTAAGTATTGCAATAAATCAAAAGGGAGTGAAATTAAATCTGATAGAACGTATTTATTCCACGTCATAGCACATTGAAAATACATATCTCATAATTGTAATTAGGTAATTTGTAATTGCATATCATCTTATATGGCGACCGAAAAATGTGATGTACGTGTGAAAACACAAAACAATTTTTATTGAAATATAAAAAAATTATTAACAAAATTATAGAACAATTATGCTTCGACCAATTTATTGAATTGTCAACAAAAGTTTTCATAACTATTGATTTTTATACAAAATGTTTAATTAAAACGTATTTCTCAAAGTATACGTATGTGACTCAATCGATTACATTTTCATTGATAATGTATAAATAAAATATGTTACTAAACATTGCCGCATGGTTTCATTTTATTCTATTCATTGATAACAGAAGAATGATATAAAAATAAACTGCTTGTGCGACAAAATATCAGTTGCCCTTCTGTCTTCAAAAATGGTGCTTCTCATCGCCCTATTGTTCCTCCAGGCATTTTTGAACTATGTAAGTTTGTAAACATTCATTTCAATCATCAATATGTGAATGACATCAAGTAAAAAAATATTAATTCTTATATAATCTAGAGGAAACTAGCTTTAATATAATTTAAGAGCTTTTTTAAAAAAAGAAGAGAGTTTTTATTATATTCCTGCTGTTCTCACTTTCTGTGTAGGCGAAGAATTTACAATGTGACTACAACAAGCTCAAATAATATTATGAATTGCAGGGCGCCTTTGCTTTACCGACACCGAATGCATTTGGAGCAGCAATGTTACCTGGACCCATTATGGAAACATTTCCTGCTACGAGAACTCCGTTCATTAACAGCATACAAGTAACGCCAACGATTTCTGAACTGGTGCCTTCGCTGCAATATGGGGATCTAACAATGGGAGGGGAGTTACCAATTGGCGGTACCATCAAAGTTTGTGGTTGTTTCCCCGTTTATGGCATGATTGCAGTTGATGGCGCTCTACCTTCTGCTGGGACAGCAGTAGTCGACGACATGTTTGGTAGACAAGCGTTTGAAGTTAGATGCGGAAATCCATTCTTTTAAAACGGTTGAACTATTGCGGTTCTAAAGTATTTCGAATAAGTAAATTATTGCCACGATCATGCAACTTTCATGTATGTATCAGTCGGCATAATCTTGCTTTAATTGTTGTTGTTGCTAGTTTTAAAATTTGATGTAACTATTTTGATGTAAAAATTATGCAATTAAAATCCATAGTAAATAATTCATTGTTATTTAATTGTATGCATATTTGCTTACGTTGCTCTATTAACTATTATCGGGTGCCATACCTCATGTTTTTGTTTTTGAGAAGAAAATGGATATTACAAAAAACACAAAATACGCACTATGGTTTTGTTAAAGTAGATATTATCTACTGGAAATCATAGTTTGCATCAGAAATAAACAGATATAAATTTATTTATTGCATAACTGTGAAAAAATATACGTACTGTGAAAAAATAAATAGTCTTCAATATTAGTAAATTTATCAAGAAAAATAATGGATTAGTCACAAAAATTATCTGGTCTAACAAAAACATAAGACTTAAAAAATCGATTTGGGAGATTTTTATTATAAATAAACAAATTTTGTCTAGATAGAAATACTTCCTGACAGCATGTAATAGTAAAAAAGTTGTGCAATTATTCATTTATGCTTGTTATTTTTATACAGGAATACCAATTGAATTCCGTCCCTCCGATCTTTATATGAATTATGGGTCCAATCATGAGTACAAGTATAAAATCACAAAGTAAAAGTATTTTTTTACTTATAAATTTCAAAGTTTATACATAGTAGTAACGGTTACCATGCAAACCCCCGATGTGTCAGAGCAGTCTGTTTCCTTGTTTCAATCTTTGCTTTATGTAAATAGGGCGACTACCTAATTGCTCATTATCCAACGCTCGACGTCAGCAGTATCCCTCAGTACTTTTTCGTAGGAGTATGGCGTGAAAACTACACAGACGATAGTACAACAATTGCACAAGACCAGCCTCGCCAGGATGGGGAACAAAAGGTTAGCTTAAAGTGTCTGCTTGTATAATAATGCCTATTCAATACAGAACAATGGCCGGTTGCAGTACAATTCTAATATTAAATGCAAAGATATTTTTATGTTCCTCACCTTTTACTTTTTGTCATAGTAATACAAAAAGAAAAGATAAAACTTTTTTTCATGTTTTGCAACAAGGGCCTATATATACTCTAGGGCCCTGTTTTCACCTCCTCATATTAAATATCATCACATAGTAAAATTGCATCAAGTACAGGTTAGTATGATGGGCTACGAAGAGTTTCCATTAGTACCTTTGGTAGTTTCGAGACATTTTTTGTATGGCCTAGAAGAATGAATCAATTAGAACAATTATGGATTTGTCTTAGGTATTCAAAAGCTGTAGTTAATAATGCCACAGGTCCCACAACATATGCAAGTTTCACCATAAATAACAATCCAATTCAAAATCTCCTCATCTGTGTGTGGTGTGTTAGGTAACTGGGGGCCAATTTTTGGCCGCATCGTATTTGCATGCAGGTGTTGCAAATGTTCATGGGCGGCGGTTAACGCATATCAGATAAACCACTCGCTTGCCGTCTTCTTATATAAAAAAAATAGGGTAAAGCTTCAACATGATTTTATTAGTGCCTCAGTGAGTTCATAGGGCTACTAATTTTCCAAGCAAATTTTTCTTTTCTTCGGACAAAAATTAATCAGTATTGTTTTATCTCTTAGTTGAAGACAGCTGCTAATTCCGATGTGCTTGGAAAAAACTGGTGTGCGTGACTCTTATGGCTATGGGCTCATTAATGAGATTATAATGTCCAGATTTTAATCAAATTATAAAACCAGAATCGAACGCTGTGCGAACTCGCAGTAATAAATAGGAAAGTAACAGCCTATGTAATTATGTCTCTTATCACATATCTTCGTATTTTTTTATATTATTTCGAAAATATTATCTACGATACACCACGACGCATGCGATAAGTCAGAACTTAAAATTGTAATTAGCAATTTCATTTCTGCCGGCTTCGGGAGTTTTACTCCGGTTACTCGAGTATATTGAATAAACCGACCAAGTGCGAGTTAGACTCGCGCATGAAGGGTTCCGCACAAATATCTATCAAAACGCAAAAAAAGTCATATCTGTTGTATGGGAGTCCCTCTTAAATATTTTTGTATTTTTTTTAAGTAACAATAATATTATTATAAATTTGAGTTTAACAAATAAATTTTAATTAATTATGCTTTAAAAACAATTACCATCCACCTTATATTTTATCAGTGTAACGAGTTGAGTACACTATTACAAATAAATATATTCTTCTCCTTCAATGCACCGACATCTACTCCGTAGTTTTTCGAATTTACTCGCGCTTCGGCTAACTTCGTTGGGATTCGTTGTCGCGTTGCAAGCGCCATCGTAGTATTGTGCCCGCCTGCCTCGCCATATTGCTTTTTTTTGTTTACGCTGTATGTAGTAAAAAACCGGTCGCAAAAGTCTAATTGTTCATGTAAACGTTCATTACATTTGTGAAATAAGAGTCTTCGCGTTTACTTTTAACCACCTTCTATGCTAAGAACCATTACACCAGTATTATAATTCTGGGTCAAAGCCCCACGCCATAAGATTTCTCAAGTTAATGATCTCGGGCATACATCGGCCCACAGTAACCTCAAATGTGATTTGACTATGATACAAAGGAGAATATACCCATTTTAAAACCGTTTTATTATTTGAAATCAACGTTGTATTATGATGATGTAAGGTTTAATTTATAAAAATAATGCACTTACTATTAACATTATCTACTTAGATATATTAAATATTCAAGATTTAATTAAAGATTGAAAAAACTTCACTAGCGGAACGATTCTGTAATAAATATTATTTTTAGGTTCTTTGGACATGGCATAATTAAAACAATGGTATATTTGACCCCTTTTATTTTATAAAATGTGCCATGCACAGACAAGTGAAATGTGTTTAGAAATAGTATTATTTTTAAACATTAAAAACAATAATTTCCGAAGCTGTTTAATGTTTACGAAGGTAAATTATAAAATTAATACCTTTTACCCTTCTTGTATACCCTTTTAATCAAAACAAATCACAGGACATATCCGTATGGACCGTATCCGTAACCGCAACCGCATCCCGCAGTTACCGGTACATTGGCAACAACGGTACCAGCGAGCGGCAGCTTTTCTGCTAGCAAGCTGCTAACTGTTAGAAGAGACAGTGTGTCTGCCAAACTAGAGGCCACGGAATTAGACTGGATGATGGCCGGTGCTGCTATAGCGGGTGTAGAGAAGACGACATCAGCGGCGCAGCAAGAAGGGGCGACTATTGGCGGAGCGACGACACTTGGACCACATGACCTGATATACTCGCCTAAAGCAGCCTGAAAATAAAATGAGTAAATATATCGTGTTTGTACATTTTTGTCTTGAGCCATTTTAAGATTTACGAAATCTAAAAACAAATGAAGTATTTTGTAATTTTAATTTCATTTTAACGTGTAAAAAAGTAAGGATTATTACTTAATATTATAAATGCGAAAGTTTGTATGTTTATTACTCTCTCACCCAAATACTACTGAATGGATTTTAATGAAATTACAATAATATAGCTTATACATCAGAATAAGACATAGGGTATAATTTATATACATATTTTTATGTACAGATATCTGTGTTTTTGTCTGTATGTTACGCCTTCAGCCTGTTCTACGCAGACGTAGTCGCGGACAGCAGCTAGTACAACCTATTTGTTACTTATTATTTTTACTTCTTCGACTCTTCCTCTTCTTGCTGTTCTGTCTTTAAATGTTAAAATATGCTTTAGCACAAGCATATTTTATATCTATAAAACATTGACAAACAGTTTTAAAGATAAGTACAGAAGTTTTAGTAAGGAAACAGAAAATTTAGGAATAAAATAAACAACTAAATAAATATGAATATTACTATGACGTAAAAAATTAAAACAGAGTATTTACCTCGAAGGCTACGGCCACCAGGAAGAAAAGAGTAAAAAAATTCATTTTAGTTGAAATGACTAAGTTCGATTAATTCCTCAACTGCTTTCGAAAGTATTTATATGGAAGAGTTTACCTAATTCGTGACACAATAATTAATGGAGCACTTGTTATCTGCTCGTGTCAAATCATGAAGTAATTTTACCACGACTAAAGTCTATTGCTTCTTCTTGTCCTTCAGCTATTACTTAATCCAGATAGAACATACTTTAGTGCAATAACAAATGCAAAGTAACGGCCTGAAGTTATACCATCAAAACATAAGTCAATATTACTGGAAAATTACTTAAGGACGCTCATTCGTAAGATCTGGCTTCACGTCATAATCCTGTAGTAGGTACCTACTTCTTCTGCTGACGGCCGATAACTTAAACCAATACTTTGTAATGACTGATAAAAATTTGAAAATATTGAGTTGTAAACACAGATTGGACGATTAAGCGATTTTCAAATAATATCTTATCCTTTAAACGAGCAATTCTTGTATATAATCGGAATCTCGGAAACGGCTCTAGCGATTTTCATGAAATTTAGTATGTGCGTAGATTCGGGGGCGAAAAATCGATCTAGCTAGGTTTCATTTTTAGAAAATGTCCTTCTATCCCTGTTTTCAGGGAATAAAAAATATAATTCGAATATGACGGTAAATTTCGCCGCAAGAGAAAATGTCATAACAGCTCGGTCGGTAATCGGGCGGCCCCAAAACAGACAGCCGTGGTTCGCGTCACGATCATATTTACACATTAACTTTTTTACTTTTTTTTCGATTCCAGATCATTGTTTTCTTTATTTTTAATTTTTTATCGATTTGTTATTTTGTTATATTTTTCCCTTTTTTTTTAAAGTTCTTTCTTTTGTGAAAAACATCAGTTCATATTTTCTTATTATTACGTCGGTAAGATCGAAAAATATTATGCATATTTCATTACTCAGTAATTTGTATCTAAATGTAATTTCCAAAATACACGATTTACCAAAAAAAAAAACAAACCGAGCAAAGCTCGGTCCTCCGGGTACTAAAGAGTTAAATGACAAATATAACAACTATACTACTATATATATATAAATAAAACTAAGAAATACAAAAAAAAGTATCCAACAAAATAATGTGACTATTAAAGCTTCATCTGACGCAGAACCGGTGGGCTAGCCAGAACCCACGGGTTTGGGCCCTCCGCTGTGGGTAGGGCCGCGCATGTGCTCATGCGTGCGTTTAACTATGACATGTCATCTAAGGGCCATCGAAGTTGCGGTGCGGACCGAGACCCCGATGGCCGTCGACTGTGTTTTTAGCTAATCGGTGGCTGCGGGCGGTGAGAACCGCCCTGGAACGCGGGTGTACCTTGTGTACGCGTTGTGTTGGTCTCGCCGTGCTCGGAGGCGAGGGCGAACTATTGTGTTTGTTGGTACACTAGCTGTGGGTGTAGTGTTATCCGGCGGGACCCCCGGCGGTGGGTCCGGCGTATCTAAGTCGACCGGGTCGATGAGGACGTTTCGCGGGCGACGCTTGTTGACGTTCGCGTTGGTAATTTGCTGCGCTTACCACCAGAGGGTTGGGATGATGTTCGGCTCTATCAAAGAACCGTTTTGTCAGATCTTTGAAATATTCGCGAATCGTCGGGAGTCTGCAATCGCTGTGCAGATCGACGTTGCGTTGATACCACTGCGCACCGGTTGCACGGCGGATGAACTTATTTTGTACTATTTGCAGCTTGTACAAGCGAGTAGGGTGCGTGTGGGCGAAGATCATGCATGCGTAGGACATAATAGGTCGTACGCAGGTCTTATATAATAATAATTTGTGCCTTAAGGGCATTTTACTTTTAGCGTTAGTTAAATTGTGTAGCCGGCCGGAGACGAACGCGGCTCTACTACGAACGTTATTAATGTGCGTAGTAAATGACATACGCGAGTCGAAAGTGACTCCTAAGTATTTGAGCTTTTTCTCCCAGGGGAGCGGTTGGCCATAAAGGGATATTTGCCCCAACTTTCTGCATTGGCGAGGGCCATTATAAAGATGTGACGGGTAAGTACTTCGTGTGAAGTGAATCGCCACACTTTTTTCGGGATTTATTTCTATTCTCCATTTGCGGAACCAATCGCCGAGGCGGTCGGCGGCGCTTTGGAGTCGAGTGGTTAGTATTTTAAGGTTGCGGTCTGAATAAAAGAGCGCGGTGTCATCCGCGAAAAGCGCGAGATTGACGTGGGGGTCTTTGGGTATGTCGCTCGTGTATAGCGTAAAGAGCAAAGGTGAGAGGCAGGCCTTGTGGTACGCCGGCCGTGAGGCGGCGGCATGTGGAGAGGATGCCCTCGACTCGATATCGAAAGGAGCGATTCAACAAAAAGGCCCGGATGGTGTGTACGAGCCTATCTGGCACTTTGAGTGTGTACAGCTTGTAAAGCAAGCCGTTGTGCCAGACCTTGTCGAATGCCTTTGCGACATCGAAGAAAAGAGCCCCTGTACTGATATGTTTCGGGTGGTTTAGGCCTTTTAGGATGTGCTCCGTTAGGCGGTATAACTGGTCGGGACAAGAGTGTCTAGCTCGAAAGCCGAATTGTTCCGTGGGCAGAAGGCCGTTGGAAAATACGTGCTCTTTGAGCCTTTTTATCAGAGCCGCTCGTAGAGCTTCCCCAGGCAACTGAGGAGGCTGATGGAACGATAGCTAGAGGGCTGGTTGGCTGGTTTATTCGGCTTGCGAATGCCGATAACCGTGGCTTGTTTCCAGTCGTCCGGAAAGGAGCAACTGGAGAGTAGAGTGTTGAAAATGGTCGCCAGTAAATAGATAAGCGACCCAGGGAGATCTTTGAGAATTTTATTACTGATCTTATCTGGGCCCGGGGCGGATTTCGGTTTTAAATTTTTAATAATATCTTGGACCTCTTCGGGGGTCACTGAACTTAAAGGATCGCCTTCCGGTGGAAGCGCAGCCCTAGTCTCGATTACACGGTCCACCTCCGTTAGGTGGGTAATTTTTATTCACAAAATGAAAAATCTATCTCGACTTTAATATTATTTTAAAATATCAGGCGAGTATTGTGTTGCGAGCATTTCAAGAAGAGACAACCTTTTTATCGTTCAACTTCGCTGTGGAATCTCTTCCGAGTCTGATTTATTTTATTTTCGAAATACCCAAACGCAAGTCATATTCCCAAATTCATTTTCTCTACGGTACGATTGAAGGAATAATAAAAATAATATACGTAATAAATAATTATTAATGTTTATAGGTTTGAAGTAATATTGACAATATTAGTACAAAACTGAAAAATGGTAGTAAAGAGACCTTTACCAATTGACTTGGGCGAACTTGTACTACTTCTAAATCCATTGATAGTTTGTTTGACTAACAAAATTTTGTTGGTGAAAGTCACTAAGACTTGACTTGACTTGACTCAGAGAAAATAATTTCAACTTGAAATTATTTATGAGAGACCTAACATGTATGTGATAACAGATTGCAAAGTATAACAGACTCAAAGTTAGTATGTTTTATGGTAATACACTGCGTTTACGGACCCACCAGACTACAGATAATTGGATTCATTGTCGACTCTTTCGATAAACCGTTGGTTACCTCTTGAAAATGTTTGCGTACCGTCGGGAGTCTGCAATCACTACGCAGATATATTCCACCTTTTTTTTTTGGTATCGGGGGGAAATCTTCAAAAGATACCCTGTCACTCCACATAACCCTGTCATGATATGACAGGGTTATGTGGGGTTCGTACCCACTAAAACCCCCTCGGTGGCCACCTTCTGTACCTTTGCAGGGACTCCGGGATCTCCTATGGAACGCACCGGTGTCCCTCGGTACTGGGCGTGAGCACGCCTCGGAGAAGGGTAAACCTTCCCCGATTCCCTCGCCGTCTTCCAGCACCCCGAGACCACTTCGTGCTGCTGCCAATCCGTGTCCCCTTTTAGTCGCCTTTTACGACAGGCAGGGGATACCTTAGCTCTATTCTACGAGCCCGAGATTACAGGGCTGAGATATATTCGACCTAGGACCGGTTAGTCAGTTAATTGGGGTTTGTGGGGTTCCGTGAGTAAAGGACATACAAGCGTATATGACATTATGGGTCGTGCGAATGCCTTGTATAAAAAAAGTTTGAGCGTTAAGGGCATTTTATTTGAGGTATGCGTAAGTTAGAGAGCCGTCTATAAAAGAACGCGACTCTCTCTTAGGTTTTTAATTTGTGCAGCGAATGTCATCCTCGAGACAAGTGACTCTTAAGTACTATACCTTCTTTCCCCAAGATATCGGTAGGCCGTTTAATGTTACTTACCATAACTTTCTGCTCAGACGAGCTCGGCTCTAAGTACCCCCAAATCAAAATCGGAAAGAACGAGTCAACAGGATTCCTCGACTTGTGTGCACGAGCCTGTCGGGCACATTGAGTGCAACCGCTCATAAAGCAAGCTAACAAACCTTGCCAAACCTTGTCGAATATCCTTGCGACGTCAAAAAAGGGTGCGGTTCGAGAGATTGAGACCTTCAGAATGCGCTCCGTCAGGCGTATCTTCCATAGGGTCATGCGGGTGAACACCCGGGTCGGCGCTTTATGTAGATACGTAATATCTCTCTCGAACAAATTAAAAAAATTTTTTTTAAACCCACGACGGTTAAAAAGTAATTGAAAAAGGATAAAATAATTTAAAAACACCCAAAATAAATGTAACGGGACATAATAAACGTATAAATATTTACTACATAGAATTGATCTCTCGCGGAATCGGTCATATAATTATGTAAACAATAATGTATCAGTTTTCATAGCATTTTCATAAGTACCTATCTATTTGGTTCTCGATGAATATAAATGTGACAAAATATCCGTCAGGGGCTGTCAGCACTATTTTAAATTTCATCGTAAATAAAAATAAGTTTTCTTGTTTGTTTATTGTTTTTGTAAAAAAAACATTGCCCTTACTTTAGGATAATATTATCCTGTGTTGTAAGGACTTTTTAATAACATATATTTCACGCGGACAAACACCCAGATACGAAACAATATAGCCATAAGTTTAGTTTTAATTCTACGTTTTAATTGGTCAAGTGCAGACTTAATATCAACTGTGGGATTATTACGCGCACAATTTGCCCCATGAACGACCTATTTACTTTTTTTTAGACAAAACAATGGCGTAGTTAGTTAGTCCTTATTTCTAGTGTGTAATTTATGTCTGACACTATTCTTTAGGTAATAATTAAGGTTATGTCGAAAACACAAAATATTACAATAAATGTATTGACACGCAACTGCACTGACGTGCAACTTATCCCCACTGTACGGGCACAGCCTACCCATTAAGGGTAAGTATAGCGCTAAAAATCTCCAATTATTCTCGTTACTATAAAACTGTAAAACTAGTTCATTTAATGGCAGCCTCTAAATGATATTCTTGGGGTTTGTACTAAGTTCAAAGGTAGTTGAAAATGTTATTACTAAATCTACAATCATCGAGAACCAAATAGGTAAGTACGTAGGGAAATGCTATAAAAACTTATAGGTACTCTATTTTTTACATATCAAACATCAACTTTTAATAAATCTTTCTACTTTTATTATCTTGCGTTATATATATTTTTTTAAGTCGGGTGTTTTTAAATTATTTCACCCGTTTTCAATTACTTTTTAACTGTCGTCGGGTTTTTTCCAAATTTTAATTTGGCTTTTTTTTAAATTATCCTTAAATGCAAGACTGTTTTTGTTATTGAAATAGGCAAAAAAGAATCAATGGGGTCAGCGGTGTAAACACAGCACGTCATCAAAATGGCGGCCGCTGCGCATGTCCATTAGACTTTTGGCTACACACAGGAGGGTTTTCCGTATCATTTATATAATATTATCTTTTTTAAAAGCTGCACTTTTGATTTGTAATAACATACAACGATGTGCCCATAATGAACTATTATCTACTTTTATTTAATATATATGTCTTCTTACATAGAATTATGACAAAAAATCTTTCACTCTTTGATCCTATTATGTTATTCTCTGAAATGAAAAATGACATTTCACCTTTTCCTAATTAATTGTACTCCAAACAATATTATTATATACAAAAAAGAGGTAGATATGACACGCACCGAAACTGAGGAATTCAAATTACGCCAATTGGTGTAGATTGCTAATATATAGACTGCCATCTCTTTCAGTCTCATAGTTTCTATATCATCTGTCACATTCACTGATATATCACTAGATAATATAAAACAAAGTCGTCCCGCTGTCTGTGTCCCTGTGTATGCTTAGAACTTTAAAACTACCCAACGGATCTTTATCATATATTACACCCGCGCAAAGCGGGGGCGGGTCGCTAGTGTCATATAATGGTCGAAACAAATTTTAAGCGCCCAGCAGTATGGACATGCGTCATCTTCATTAAAACATCATTGATTCGAAAAATAAAATACAACCATTCCAAAAATAAAATATAACTGTATCCAATTATTTTAGTAATATGAATTTTTTGAATGATCTCTATCAGAGACAATCAGTATAATTACGCATCACGATGTGCAAAATACCACCCCTGTGTTGTCATACCCTATGTTGCCTTAAAATAGAGGGGTGAGGTTTACTTACATATTCTATTATATAGCATTCGACTGCGGCACCATTAGTCGTTTGTGTACTTTCGAGCCTGAATGTCGTTATATAAAATTATTTCCCATTGCAGAAGTTGTAAAAAAAGTGAAAGTATTATTAATGTACGACAAAGTGAAAAAACTAAACGAAACCCCGTAAGTGGAAGTTGTTTTTTTAGTGCAGTGTGAAGGTAAAGTGAAGTTATGACGTTACATGCCTTACCGGCATTCACTTACATGTTACAAGAACAAAGATTTAAAAGAATTGATTCATCAACAAGTAGTATGCCTTCTTTAATATTTCGTAATCGGTAAGTTAAATGTAAAAAGACATTTTTTTAATTTAACAGTTGGTCCTTAAACTTCGATCAATAACTCTACTGCGGCTTAGTCGCCTTTATTGATTTTGTTGTCATCCACTTGATATAGTTATGTTTTCATGTTATTCAGGGAAAACCATAAACAAGACGAAGAAACGCATTATCTTGAACGTATATTTATTATTTATACTCATTTTTGTCAACAAGTAATTAAAAACGGAATGCTACAGAGACATAGAAAAAAATATTAAGCTTCGTGCAGACTTTTGTCTCTATCAAGAGATTCATCAAATTTATATATTGTTTACATATTTTTATACTTCAACAGTCTATACGTAAAACTAAACTCATTGTTCTCAAATCAACGTCACATTTCCGGCCGCCATTATGGAAAAATTGTATAAAGCGACCAAATTAAAAAGTTCAGAAAACATGCAGAATCTGTATAGAAATAAGGTACATTTTAAATTGTGTTAGTGAATCGAACCACTTGAGACGAGCAATAGACACGATTTGTCGTATTCGTAATTCATCTGCTTGTTGTGAAAGCATCTGCTTGTGCTGCGCAATTTCTTAAAACTTACGGTTTGACCGTTTTTTGTTTTGAAGTTTTACCAAGGCTTAACTACGATTTTCCAATATGACGAAGTTAATACAACAGTTAAGCTTTAGTAGTAGTAATTACTACGACCTCGCTGGAATCGAGCCCAACTCAGCTAAGGGAAAGACTTACTAGTAAGTGACATTTTGCTATCTGATTAAACTATTGCTTGCCTTCATAATATTCTCCATTACTATACGTTTGATATTTGTGAATACTTCTTTTAGTTAGATCCCATATCAAGATAAAACTCATATCTTTTACCATCTACGTCATCACATTCCACGATTAATGACAGATTACCTTCGCTTTGTTAGAATGCAATTATGCATTGTCTTTGACCCATTATTCAATATGGAGTATGAATATGATATAAAATTCATTGAAGCTTCAAATATTTACTTTTTTCTAACTATGATATTGCAGTGAGACTAACCATATTTTTTGTTTATGTAACTTAGTAAGAATGTGTACTATATAATTTTCATTCTAATACCGTATATTTTATTTTATTGAAAAGTAATTTTATATATATTTTTCCAGTATATTTATATTATTTTCATACATTTTGTGTTTTAAGTATTCCACTAATAATTGAAATGGTATGTTACTATTTGATATGTACTCAATAAAGTTTCATTTTCTTTTTTTGAAAATTTTTGAGGTTATACACATGACAATGCATTACATCCTCATGATAGACATATAGGAACATCAATGGCAGGTCAGGTAAACTCTTACTTATAAAGTTTTAATAGATTAAGTATTGCACTAATATTTTGCCTTACAAAATATTTTAACATGTATTTTGGAAGTCATGTTAGTATACTAATTTTTTTAATATTTGGATAAGAAATAAAAAAATTAACTTTGTAGTTGTTGCATACATGTTACACATAATCACAAAAAGATGGTGCACCTTTATTTATAACAATAAGAAGAAAAAATAAGGATAATATTTTTTTATCTTATAATTGACACATCTTAACAAATTCAATACAGCCATAGACCCAATAAAGCATGTTTAGACAACATATTGTAATCAATGTAAGTGCTATTTTTGCAAAAAAAAATTGTTTCTTTGTGAAGTGTTCTTTAATCTTTAAAACTGCTCAATAAATTGGCTCAAAAAATAATCTGTATTAATTGCATTTTTTCTCATAGAACACTAGCAAAAACAAGCATTCTATTTTAGGTCTTCCTGTCAGTACATCGCACACAATGACAATTATAGGAATGATCTTGGTATTGACATTTTGTTACAAGGAATATGATGACTGCCTAATTATGTGAAATTGTTGAAAACTGATTGGTCTTTTTAAAACAATCAAAGTTCATAAGAAATGTAATATTTTTGTGTTTTTCATAGGAGAATATTGCTTCGCAATGGTATCAATTGAGCATGTCAATTTATTGTCCTTGGTTTTTAAGTATGTGGATTAGCCTTTTTCTTTCTATTGTTATTTTTTTTACTAGCAACCCACCCTGGCTTCGCACGGGTACAATGTATTATATATTTCTCTTGAATCACTATCTAGTAAAAAAAACGCATCATAGTTTTAAAGATCTAAGCATACATAGGGACAGACGGACAATGAGCAACTTTGTTTTATACTATGTAGTGATGTGAATTGAAGTATACTGTGTAGAAATAACCAATAAATAAATACTGCATTCTATATAGTTATTGGTTATTTATATATTTGTTTGTAGAACTTCTGCTTGAAAAAAATTGCAATGGAGAACTAGATGTTAATGTTATTTTATAATTTACGTGCTGTTTAAAAATACATAACAAGTTGAATTTAATAATGAATATAAGAGGCTTCAATGCCTTTCTTTGTAAATAAAATTGAAACATTACTTAGATAGTTATGTGCTTTGTTTGCTCTGGTCTAGAATTAATTTTATAGAACAATAGCGACAGAAATGTGTCGAAGTCGTCGAAATTTTTCAACTGAATTATTACCGCGTTCCATTTTGCCTTTATTTATTACTTCCACAATTGCCAACACGCCATATTGACCACCCAATGGCGGCGAAAGCAGCATCGTTCCGAAATAGAACAGAGAGTAAAGAATTCGCTGGCCACGCCTTGGTCGCAGATTAAAAATAAAAAGAAAACATTTTTGAGGCCAAACACCACATGTGACTGTTTGTTTATTTGGATGCTTTACGCATTTTAATTATTATAAATATATCATCAATTTATCGACTATGACTTCTTAATTTTTTTTAGACAAGTATGTTTTGTTTCATTTTCCTAATGAAAGCTTAATATTTGCTTTCCCTTTTACACGGAGTTGTGAATATTCATTCGTCCTTCATGCAACAATGTCAAACGTATTGAGAGCGGCTATGGCGCAGTACGTTTAAAAATAGATAGATACAAATATCAAACTGTTGTTATATTATTGTTGTAATGTTGAATTTTCTTTCTAAATATATTGTTACGAAAATTATCTTAAATTTATTATGATTATGGCGCTTCGGTATATACACAAAACCGCGATCGAAATAACAGACTACAATTCACAAATATAAAATGGAGATTCGATGATCCTTCTATACATAGGGTGTTGTATGTCATTCGTAAAACTTTTATAGTTTTCTGTAGGGTCTACATAACTAATTCAATATCGTAAAAAATTATGCAAAGAATGTTGTAAATGAATTTTAAACAGTCATTTTGATAGCTTTGATAGCTGGCAACCATAAAGTTTCGTATTCTACGATTCGAAGACGCTAACAACTATCCGTAGTCGGCCACTAGATAATTCATCTTAAATAATAATTTTCCATTCTAACGAGGCGAATAGTATGCTACCTCCCGGAAATATAAATGTTATAAAATTCCTGAATAGAAACAATATTTGTTTTGTTTGCAATTAGTTTAAATAATAGCGCCGATAATACTAGGTTTATGGTAAAAAAATAATTATCATATAAACACAACATTATCGTCGACTCATTTTAAATCAAGGTCGTAAAGTTTTTTTATAAAATTTAGCAGATCTGGTTATTTTTTTTTATGTGAGAAAGTACTGGCTGACGGTTCCCATTACGTGAAGAGATAACCGACGCCCACTGACATTTGAAACACCTGCAGAGAGTTGCAGATGCGTTGCTCACCAGACGAAACGGAGATATTTAACACTTCCAGTTCCTGGACCTGCCCATTCGTACAATAGCGAAAATTATAGCGTGGCCCTACGACAGTTAATGCTTCTCAGATTTTTTTTTTATTTAGGTACTTAGTAAACAACATTATCAAAAAGGCGTCAATTTAAACATTCCGCTATTTTAATATATTAGTAAATAAATTAGTATTGCTTTGTGTAATAATAACGGTTACATAAGCAGAATAATGAATTTGAATTTAGTCATTGATCACTCAGTAACTAGTGACGATCTGGAATACAATGTGCGAATTACACGAATGAGTATTCTGATTTATCTAGATCTGGCTTCGAAATTTCTCTCAGCCCCTTGTGGGATCTGCCTACCCTTTGCTGATCACTATTGGGACTAAACCAAGATATGTGTAGCGCTTCGTGTTGGTCTGTGGGGGAGGTCTATGTTCAGCGCAACAAACGAAACAAAAAGTGGACACAGGGTGTAATGATGTGTGGCGCGGACATTATACGCCATCCCTTTCTAGAGTAGGAAAGTAAGCCACATACAGCGTGTTGTTACCATCGCGACAATAAATGAACACACGTTTAACGCTACTTGCCAATAATCATAAAAAAATATTAACGTTAAAAAAAATGTTTTTCAAACTAATTAACTAAAATTAAACAAAATTTCTAACATCCTATACAACTACAACTGACTGATTCACATTCAGAGACTTTTTCATTCGTTGCCACAGTGTCGCATTACAAGCCTCTCCTAACAGTATGTTTTGTTTGTCTCTTTTAAATTCATTCAACCCATTCATATGCTTTGTGACCTTTACAAATGAACTTAACGTTACAGTTTTATACGTAAAGATGTTCTAAAATTCTTTGTTTTGGAAAATTTAATAACTCTGTAAATATTGATATTTAAAGAAAGTAAATGTTTAATACGATTTTAAAAAGTCATCCAAGTGTGTGTTCATTTATTGTCGCGATTGTAAAGACACGCTGTATAAGACGAGATTTTTATATTTATTATCCTTCTATGAAGTTATTAATCATACATCAGATTGCTCCACAACGGTGTTACGTCATTGGGCAACATTTCTAATACGCAGTTCTACTGACAACGTGATTTCGTTACGCAACAGAGAAAATATCTATTTCTGGGCGATTTAATTTGTTTGTGCCAATATACTTTTACAAACTTCTTTGAGTCTTCCAATTTTGCAATTCGCTATTCAAATGGGTTAGGGAATGTCGCTGGTAAGCAAAATTTGTGTTGCCTTATCATTAATAAAAAACGACTTTTTCTGATGAAAACCTAACAGAGAAACTTATTTTATGATTTGTAAGAGCCGTAATTTAAATTTAATAAGTAAAAAGTTATTTTTCCTTATACGTTACCGAAATTGAATCGGCGAATTTGACTACGTGACTAAACACAATACTAATGTCATTTTATAGTTTAATACTATAATAACACGAATATTAACTTCTATAATAGGAAACTAAACCACGTTTTGTTGTGGCCTTTTGATAAGATAAACGTTGAAAGTCTGTACTTCAACGTTAAATAAACGTTGAAAGTCTGTAGGCCAACTCTGTACTTCAACGTACTCTACGTTGAAGTACAGAGTTGGCCACGGCAACAGATTTTCCTTACAACGTGTTCACTGACGTAAATCGACTTCGAGTACATATTTATATTACAATGGCTTTTGGCAGTGGTCGGTAAACAAAATTATTCCGTGCGTTTTGGAATGTAGTACATGTATGAAAATTTCACTGAATGTAAAACCAGCTTTATATGCAACATAAGTGAAATTAACTGCCAAAATCACATATTGCGTGGCGCGCAATTAACTATTGTAGTTTCTTCTAAATCAAGAGTTGTTCCATACTCTTCTAAAGCCATCTAAAGAATTTTAAAAAACATTTAACTTACCCCGTCACTTCTCTTGATAAAAGTCAAAATATTAAGAAGTGATAAAACACCGACTGTGATATGA